ACGTATTACTTATGTTACTTTTTCCGAGCTCTTAGAATCATATCATCTGTAATTTTTTTAAGTGAAAAGAATTATCTCCTGACAGCTGTTTCGGTTAGGATTTTACTGTGTAGATCATGAAACTTGATAAGCCGCATGCACAATTCCGAGATAAAGAGAGCTTATTCGAGGCGCTCCAACCGCAGTTCTAAGAAAGGCCTGAAACGCTTGCCTGGCCACGGCTTTTCATCGCCGCTGTAGCTTTGACGATGTAGCATAGCCGCTGTAGCTTTGACGATGTAGCATAGCCGCTGTAGCTTTGACGATGTAGCATAGCCGCTGTAGCTTTGACAATGTAGCATAGCCGCTGTAGCGCTGCCCGTATAGCATTGCCGCTGTAGCTTTGACGATGTAGCATTACAGCTGTAGCGCTGCCCGTATAGCATTGCCTCTGTAGCTTTGACGATGTAGCATTACAGCTGTAGCGCTGCCCGTATAGCATTGTTGCTGTAGCGTTAGCGGTTGGCGCTGTAGCGTTGAGCCCTCCGGGCCAGACGCCGCCGTATCGCGCTACATCTCGTGTCTGGGTTTTCATGCCGCTCAAAGTTTTCAGCCTTTCATGTTGCCGGTCTTGATCAAGGATTATTTTTGTACTGATTTTTATTGAAGAATATTCAATAGGGATATTTTGGTTTGCGTTTCATGTCCTCAATGGTCAGCATATTCGCATTTTACGCAATTTTATAAAATTGGCTTTTGTAATTTTTTATGACCGCGCTTTCATTCATTTTGTTTAATAACTTGTCTCTCTAAGGATGGGGTTCTGTTATCTTTAGTAACCCGTTCTTTTTTATTAATATCGTATTAACAGCTGTAGACGTTATTGTTATTTCGTGCGTTGTTTTTTTACGAGTATCAATTCTCCGATTCCATAAATTCAGTGGATTAGTGCATTCATTCAAGTCTGAATTCCATTTTCGCAAGGCTATTCAGCTCGCTGCATGAACCATTCTTCGAGAAGAAAGAAACCATCTTGCCATAGCGATTGAACTTTCTCGGCGATTGAAATTCTGGGCTCACGACTTCAGGCAACCACGAGGAACCGAAGCGTGTGTGTGACCACCACTCGCTGCTGTAGCCAAGATACCGACCAGCTACTTCCGAGATTATTTTCTTGCTCAATCGATGGTTCCAGAAAAGCCCACGGATTTTGTGGTTTTGTGGTCTTGTTAAAAAAAACAGATGTTGGACAGTCTTGTTTAGAATCGTGGAGATAAGTTTGTTACTATGCTAATCGAATGCTATAATATAATATTCCTCGTCTTGTGTCGTCTGGTGCGGAGGGTTTAATTTAGCACAATATATAAACATCTCGTGACTTCCGCTATATAAAAGTGTATGCACAAAAATGAAGTATGTAGTGGCCGAGACTATGTAATGCATGACATAATGTGTGCTGCTCATGGCATAACTCCAAGAACACGAGCCGCGTCATGCTGTTGTCAAGTGTGCCATACTGTTGTTAAGTGCATCGTGCTACTTTTTACTGCGCCATGTTTCTGTTTTCTGCGTCATTTTGCTGTTTCCTTTGTTATGCTATCGTTTTTAGCGTCATGCGGTTATTTACAGCGTCGTGCTTCCATTTAATTTAGCGCCGTGCTGCTGTTTTCTACGTCGTGCTGCTGTTTGCTGCTCGTATCCGCTATTCGCCTCGATTCAATTCTTCTTACGTTCTCGTCTCTCACTTGTTCTTCGTTTCCGTTTTTCCTCTACTATTCCATGTTTTTTTTTTCTCCTTATCTAACTCATTTTTCACTACCGTCTTTCCTGTTTACTTCTCTAATTCCATTCCTGCTTCTTTCCTTCCTTCCTGACGTCTTTTTCAATCTTCTACTTTGCTTGAAGATCCTCACCTTCATGCCAACGCATTCGTAGTCCTGAATAACTCGGATCCTGTCGAGCGAGCATATTTTGTTCTTCTCGATGGGTTAAGGTTTTCCGGGCAGGCTGTTACGTTAAGGTTCACGCTTGTGTACTGGAGTATGTTTAATTTAACAAATGTTCAATACTGAAATGAAACACTTTGTTGCTGCTTTGTGGAATATATATATATACATAGTTGCACCTCAACGCTTTATTGCTGTTGCTATGAGGAAACGCTGCTATAGTTCATGCGCGGCTGTGTATTTACGCAGAACAGTAAGTACATTTTCATACCAATTATAGTTTCACATCATTTAAACTATCGTGTTTTCCTATTATAATTTAAATCTAGTAACTATGAATATTGCGACCGTCCATGAGTGCTGGGCAGCGTGAGTGTGTGTGCAGGCACACCTTCATCCGGGTACAGTGCGGGAGTGAGAGGCGCCTCTGCACACAGAGCTGGGTCATGATCGAGGTGGTGCCTGACAGAGCAACTTTACTTCTAATTATCACGTATATACGCTTAGATCCCTTGCCGTATTTGCTCTTATTAATTTACGCTCTTACCAACATGAAAGCGTCGAGCTTACCTTTATATTAAGTTCTGCTTCAGATTGCTGTTTGAAGGTTTAATTTATTTTTGCAATTCATAAAAGGACTTGTTCATATAAATAAGTTTTACTACTAGAACATCTCGTGGCTCTTGTACATAACTTCGAGACATGGGTTGGCAGACTACAGCGCTTGGCAGGATGAAAGCAGTCATTCACAAAATTCTTCTGTGAAATGCTGATTCATTATTAAAAACATATCTCAACTGAATTTAATGCCCTGCTGGTTAAAATGAGTACAAATTCAATCTATGATTCACTCCTCCCCAGTTTTACGTATAGTAACTCGCAATGGATAAAGTAAAATTTGCCTTTGCATTAGTCCTCAAATAGAACATAGAAACTTGATCATGGATGATCAATGTTAATGCTACGAATATGCTAGAATTTCGATCGGTATCTGTAAATACGTCCGGTCAGGAGTGTACTCGGCGAATATATACGCGTCTATGCAAATGCCTTGGAATATTGTTCCTTTCAATACAGACTGCAAGGCTGACCCTCTTTTCCGATGTGTCCGTGAAAAGGTCAAGTCCGCCTCAGTTGACTTACTAGCTTCTTCAACAGCTCGCGTCGACCTTGTAACTGGCAGCATTTCCATGCCATGTGTTATACCTGCATCTGACCACATAAAGTTCACTGGTTAAGACTCCATTTTACAAAGGCCGGCAGTGAGACTTCTGTTGTGTAATTTATATAAGAACAAGCGTCTGTCCGTTATATAAGCTCTTTTCAATTTATTTTCATACGCTTTCAATTCTAAATTAAATGGAAATTATTTCCTTTTCCGTAAAAAAAGTCAATGGAAAATTGAAATATGGCATGTACAAAGAAGGCTCGTTAGATTGACTTTGCTTGCATCTTTGGTGTGGTATTTCGTTCGCATGCAAATGGTTCGTGGGTTCGGTAATTAGGGGAAGCCACGCCCCAGGCGCGCCGCTCCCCCATCCCTGGTCAGGTGAGGTCATTCCTGAACCGTCAGCCCTCGCTATAACCGGAGGATAGCTTCTGGATGGCCGACCCTATTTCGCCTGTAATTTTTGTGTTAGTCTCTGCCACCCATAAAGCAAACCTTGGCCGCTTCTGGCTGAGAACTTTTTAACCTCTCCCAAGGCCAAGTTATATTCCTTGCATCTCTCTTGATCCAGGACGTCTTTCTCATTTTCTTTACTACCTAAATCACTTACATTCTTCATATAACCTTACTGGTGATTAATGCAGTGGGATGCCTTTAACATGTTATCATGTATAATTCTTTGTTTATTTTGTGTCATCATCGTTTATTATCTCACTGAAATTTTTTTTTTGTCTGTCTGCTGATACAAGTGACGTTATCAATACCAGGCAAATATTATCCTGGAGAAATTAGAGTTATACAGTCATGTAATAAAATGTAATAAACGCCTTTCACACGTGTTCATGCATGCGGACCTCGCAATTTCTTTGTTCTCGAATTTTCTGGCCAACGTTCGTCTCCGTTCATCTTGCAAACGCAAACCGAGGTTTCCGCTTTGGTATCTTCCGCGTGCGCTGCTGGCGTGATAGCAAACATGATAGTAAATAAGCTCGTTGGTCAATATAAGTGGCCGGGTTTGGCGGAGTGATGGTCTCGAGCATGCGGCTTAAGGTGCGTCTTGCTCATTAATACCTCATTGGCCGTACTTGCGTGTCGTCACTTCCCCATGGGAGTTTCCTAATGGGTGTCTGTACGAGTGGAAGAAGGCATGCGCGCCGTCTTTCACATGTGTTTCCAAAGACGGCATCGCCGCAAGTTTTTTTTTTTATTGGAAAAAGCTGAAGCAGCAATCAATTGATTATTGGTTGTCTTCGTGTTGATGATTAATGATTGTCTTGTGTTATGCATTTGGTGGCCATGAAGTAGAGAATTTTCGTTAGTTCTTCTGAAACAGCAACTCACTTAGTCATCCCATCAACCATTTCATTTCTAGTTTTTCCTTCATTTTTACTATCATTGTTGGGGATTGAACGTATAACGAATTTGTGATTTTGCGTTAGAAAGAGTTAGACGTGACCTTGTCCAAACTAAGAAAGCGGATTCAGTATCGTGTGTGCCGTGGATGTGTAAGGAGTCTCAGCAATAGTCTTAGAAATAGCTCAGAATCTCGGAACCTCAAGAATAGCTCAAGAATTGCAGCAATAGTCTCGAAAGTGTCTCGTTTCTGATTTCGGTGTTTACCAAGGCTTGGTTTTAATCTGTAATAAAGATAAATCAGAACTCGTTTATCACTTTGGCCAATGGGAAGGACCTATACGATCACCTGGCTGAACAATGCAGGGATGAAGATTGGTTTGTTCTATTTTTGTTGGAATGCGTCCCTAGCATCATTATATATCGACTTATCCATACCATTCAGTTTGTCATTCATAATTTTTATTTTTCTGCACATGAACAAACTTCGCAGTTAATTGCTTCTGCACCGATTACGTTAACGTCCAAATGATATAAGGTTGTTCTCATGACAGGCGTGGCCGCCATGACGGCAGCGACGGCCGAGAGCCAGGTGCGCTTCAGCGGCCACACGCTCGACAAAGCCACCAAAGCCAAAGTCACGCTCGAGAACTACTACAGCAACCTCATCGCCCAGCACCTCGAGAGGAAACAGAGGTGAGGACTCCTTAAGTGCGAGACTCGCTCGGTGCCTATCGCGACAGTATTTTTTCAGTGATGGGGTATTCCCTAGTCAGGTTTAGTTCTGTTTTTTTGTTAGACACACAAACACATTACTCGTAATCAAAACCTGAACTAAGTCACTAGAATCCTATAAAGTAGTATGATTGATATTATTCATTTTATGCCGATAATCTGAGAGGCTTTTGATGTACAGACACGACAAGCTGGAGGAGAGCATGAAGGAAGAAGGTCTGAGTGAGGACCAGAAGTGCGAGAAGCGCCAGCAGCACGCACAGAAGGAGACAGAGTTCCTGCGACTGAAGCGATCACGTCTCGGTGTAGAGGACTTCGAGGCGCTCAAAGTCATCGGAAGAGGAGCTTTTGGCGAGGTAGACTTTCATAAATTATTTCTTACACTTTATATACGCGTTGACTGCAGTCTAGCTTTATTCGGGTGACTGTTGCTGTTCTGTTTAGTTACAACTCAGCCACAAATTGAATTCATTTCTAAATATGTTCTTCATTAAGCCATCTTAAGGGTCATTAGCACAGATTTAACGGGTAATATTTCAAGGGTAATTTCTTCACTATGATAGCACAGCTGTATTTTATCAGGCTCGTATAAGTCTTTCCTTAGGCCTTGAGCGTATCATTGCTGCTACTGCACCTTTCGAATTTATAGTTGTTCCTAATGATAAAACACAGGTTTCTGTGGTTAACATTTGAGCTATCGACTGTTAACTAGTGGTGCCTTCCTTTTCCAGGACCTATACTTCGTTAGCTGTTGCAGCTTTTGGAACAACTTCAAATGCAGAGGATGTATTAATATGTTAACCAGAGAGCATGTTTATGGTGTTATCTACAGTAAACAGAAGGCAGATCTTATGTTGTTTACTCTAAATAATGTAGTGGATGTATGGGCATGGTTATGGTGTACTCTACAGTAAGCAGAAGGCAGATATTGTATTGTTTACTCTAAATAACGGCGTGTATGTATGGTGCAGGTGCGACTGGTGCAGAAGAAGGACACAGGTCACGTGTATGCCATGAAGATCCTACGTAAAGCAGACATGTTGGAGCGCGAGCAGGTGGCCCACGTGCGCGCTGAGAGAGACATTCTGGTCGAGGCTGACCACCAGTGGGTCGTGAAAATGTTCTACAGCTTCCAAGACCCTATTAATTTATACCTCGTCATGGAGTTCTTGCCTGGAGGTGAGAACTATTTAGTCTGTACCTCGTCATGGAGTTCTTGCCCGGAGGTGAGAACTATTTAGTCTGTACTTCGTCATGGAGTTCTTGGCCTGCAAATGGATTAGTTTGTATTGAATTAAGATGGGCATACAAATGTCTACGTGTCGACATTATTTCCGTTAGAGAAACTATTGTTCAATTCTTCCGTGAGTGGTGGGGGTTTATGTCAACTCGATGGGGTCGAGACTCGAACGATGTGATGGGGTCGAGACTATCGATGCGATGGGGTCGAGACTATCGATGCGATGAGGTCGAGACTCTATCAATACGATTGGGTTGCAACTCGACCCATAAGTCGACGTCAAGACTCGGGGTTAAGGCAGTTGTTGAAAGCTTTTATTTGCACAGGCGACATGATGACGCTGCTGATGAAGAAGGACACGCTCTCTGAAGACTGCACGCAGTTCTACATTGGCGAGACCGCCCTGGCCATCGACTCTATACATAAGCTTGGTTTTATACATAGGTATGGATCATAGTGGCTGTGCCTCTGGCTAAACCAGGGCCATTAGCACGAAAATTTTAATTAGCTAGTAATTATCACGCTTAGTTCAATGATGTATTGAGCTGAGCTTTAGTCAATGTTATAAATTTCCATTTAGTTCAATTCACACCTATACTATCTTAGTTTTAGTTGATGCGTGTTATATCAAGCATTATAGTTTTTCTATTGCCTTATAAAAACAGTTTGTATGGCCAAGTTTAATTTTCAATATTTAGTGGACGTATCAATTCAGTACTTGTGTACTGACTTGACTTATTTGATTTCAATTTGTCGTTGGTTCCAACAGAGACATTAAGCCGGATAATTTATTACTGGACGCCAGAGGACACATCAAACTCTCCGACTTCGGCCTCTGCACGGGCCTCAAGAAGTCCCACAGAACAGAATTTTATAAAGATCTCAGCCAGGCCAAAGCCTCGGACTTTAGTAAGTTATGTTCTTATCTTTCTTGTTTACGTTTTATTTTCCTATAATCTCACGGTGATCCCTGCACGCGGTCACGCTCATGCGCCGCCTTAAAATCGTCCTTCAGTGACGGGACTTGAGCCTGAGGCTTTTTGGGCCGTGCTGTGCGTAAAAGCATTGCTGTATAATGCGTACGTACCGCTTTCAGAAATAACATCTATCTACTTTCCTGTCATTCTTAGTTTAGTATTATAGTTAGATTTAAGATTCATCAGATCTATGAAGAAATACAAGCATTCATTTGTATAAGATCTTGACCAGGAAAACTTCTGTCTTCAGCAGGTAATGCTATATTTTTCTCCGGTATGATTTGACAGTGAAAAATTTGTCCTCCATGATTTAATCTTCGACTTCCAGTCTTCCACTGAATTTTTCGACTTCCACATTTTTACCTCAATTTTCACTGTCTATTCTGCAGTCAAGTTCTCTTCGTAATTCTAATGTTAATTCTCAGCAAAAAGCGACGAGATATATGCTCAGACATGCTAGTCAATAAATTTCATTAAAATATAAACAATTCTGTTTATATTTTTATTTTTGTTTTTGAAAGCATTTTAACACATGAAATTTTGTCGCTGAAATTTGTCACTACATTGTTGCATGTCGAATTTTCCAAGTTTAATTCAGCGTAAGCATATCTGAAATGATGGATGGAAAAACAATGCGATGAATTGCTGTTTCTGTTTTATTATCTCCTTGTTCTCTGCCTCAAGAATGGATACAATTGGGTTGGAGCGAGAATTAACTCTATTTTTGTCCGCCAGCAACTTATTCGAACGTACCTGCAACAAACCCAATGGATTCAAAGCGACGAGCCGAGAGCTGGAAGAAGAACCGCCGCGCTCTGGCCTACTCGACCGTCGGCACGCCGGACTACATCGCCCCGGAGGTCTTCATGCAGACGGGATACTCGGCATGCTGCGACTGGTGGAGTCTGGGCGTCATCATGTATGAGATGCTCATAGGTCAGTCGTCATGTATGAGATGCTCATAGGTCAGTCATCATGTATGAGATGCTCATAGGTCAGTCATCATGTAGGGAAATGCTCATAGATCAGTCATCATGTACGAGATACTCATAAGTATTATTATTTATGATTCGTCAGAAAATTCAATACTAAATTGTTAACCATGTTTAAATTAGATTGAACACCAAGAATTGTGCAAGTGTGAAGCATAACGGACCAATTATTGTTGTCAGGATACCCGCCGTTCTGCAGCGAGAACCCCCAGGAGACGTACCGCAAGGTCATGAGCTGGCAGAAGACGCTCGTGTTCCCCGCCGAGGTGCCCATCAGCGAGCAGGCGCGCGACACCATCGTGCGCTTCTGCTGCGAGGCCGAGCACAGGGCGGGCTCCCAGCACGGCCTTGATGACATCAAGAACATGCCTTTCTTTAAGGTCAGACTTATGGTTATTTCCATTATTAATTCTAAGCACGGCCTGGATGACATCAAGAACATGCCTTTCTTTAAGGTCAGACTTGCAGGATTATTCTCATAATACAGATAAAATAAAGATACATAGAGAACTCTCCTGCTACGAGGCAGAGCACAAGGTGGGCTTTATTCCTGGTCAGATTTGAAACTATCTTTTAGTTTTGAGTTAGTGAAAAATAACAAGAATCGTAAGTAGATTTGACAAAGTTCTTTTCTGTATTTGGAGGTGGAGACTACTACTTATTTGTGATAATTATCGATTGATCGAACTATTCAAAAATGACCAAAAAATTGTCACAGCCACTTCCCTGATGCAAAATTAACATATTGAGTCTGATGGAGATCCAAATCCATTTCTGGCAGTTACAGGGTAATGAACTAGTAATTAAAAAACAACTGGACTCGCATATCTGAAATTAATGCAGGAACTTCGCAGGTATAAAACTACATATTTTCTTGAGTTTTATGAAGATCCGTGTGCATCTGCGGCAGTTATCGCTTAATTAACTAATTCAGAAACAACTTGACTCACAGATCTTAAATTATAACAAATTACATCAAATGCGCATGTGTAAAATTGACATATTTCTCGAGTATGTGGAGAAATAAATCATACTAAAACATATCAACTTTTTCAGGAGGCTGTAGTGGCAGATGTTGTTGCAAGGCTATCGCGTGGTTGTGCAAGGCTCCCGTATTTTATGCTTGCAGTGCAAAGCTCACAATATTTTATGTTTGCAGGACGTAGACTGGGCACACATCAGAGAGCGTCCCGCGGCCATCCCCGTACAAGTGAAGTCAATCGACGACACGAGCAACTTTGACGACTTCCCTGACGTGGACCTGAAACTCCCAGCGTCGCCGCCCGTCAAGGAGGGAGAGGCGGGCTACAAGGATTGGGTCTTTATTAACTATACCTACAAGAGGTTCGAGGGACTCACACAACGAGGTCTCGTCAGACCTAGTGGCGCTGCTGCTCACCAACTTGTCTGAATGGATTATGTCGTAATCTTAATTTGATTGACAAGAATAATTTGATTCCTAATAGATCTTAAAAGTCTGAACTGTTATTCCTTCTTATCGTTTCACCATCAAACTAGAGTAGCTTCCAACAGAATCTTCATCGCCATTTGAACATATTTTTTAACTTGCAGGTCACTGTGGCCTGCTGTTGATTTACTTATTCATTACAATTTTTCATAGTTTCGAATATAAAGTTGACGTTAATCGTCATTTGGAATTCTGTCGTTATTGTTAAATATCGCGCCTAATTTTGTGTGAGAAGTGACAGAAAATTATTCGCGTATTGCGCCATAGTTTATTTTGTCTTGTCGAATAGCTTGACTGTAGCTATGGGAACAATTAGTATTCACGTTAAAAAATGGAGTACGTCATTCTAAGAGATTATACGATGGCTAACTGTAGCGAATGTATTAGCTCGATGGGAACGGTTGCACTAGCTGCCGTGCGTGGTTCCTACTTCACTAAATTTGTACTAGAAATTACTCTAATATTGCGTATTTTTCAGTTGCGGCTTCATTTAATATCTTTGTCCTTAAAAGGAATTTGTTTGATTGAAATGAAAATTTACTGCAATAATATTTTGCAATGTCATGCGTTGGCCTTTAGTTGGTAGTGAATAAAGTAAATGGGCAGCTGATGGTTGGACAGAACTCACTGCTGGGTCGGTTCTATAGTGAGCTACTTAATGGCCATCGCCCCTCTTGAGCAATGCTTTCTACTAGACGATAGTTAAGTTATTCCTGCAGAAAATGAATAAATTCTGTTCCTGGCTAGTGGCTACTTTGTTAGAATTTGCGATTTGGGGGCGTGTACCGAATTTATGTCACTTTTTACTATAGATAAGATGCTTCTTATTGTTTCTTTGAATGCCCATAGGAACTGCTAATGTTCAGAAGATATTTCTATTGTAGATACAATGCTGGAACATTTTTTGGTCGGTGACGTTTTTCAGTGAAGCTGCCAACTTCGATATTAAGTCGCTCGCTAGCCTTTCATTCGGCACCTCGAAGATCAAATAATTGATTCCTGATCCATTGTGGCAACAAAAAAAATTTTTCACTTGTGTGAGGTCTCCATTCCAAGAACAGTATAGATTTTTGGATGTTTGCCTAATATAGAATATCGAGCGTGTCTGCCCCTCAGAGTCGGCAGAGATTTTTCTAACCATGCCCTAGACTGCCATCTCGTTCTGTGCACGAGTTGTTCGTTGACGAACTTACGTTACTCGCCTAGACTGCTTCGCCTGTAGACGTGTTTGACGAATCCGACAGCAGTTCTTAACTCGAGGGTTCGTATTAGGCCTTAGAATATTCGCCTTCTTTATTCTAGTCTTTTGAACAACTCTTGAATTTACCTCCCATGCAACGCTTGTAGATCACAAGGCATGGCACGGAAGTGGTCCTGGCTATTAGATTCTGATCATTTGCACTACATTTTAATTACCTACACAACATTTCAATTACTTGGCTAGAGTATCAGTGCTCTTTGCGGTTACTTAATGCGTAGCCAATTTTTCCTATAAAGCAATAAATCGAAATTTTTCCACTGAAGTATAATTTTTATTTCTACAGAGTGGTAAAAAATACTGTGTTGTATTTTTTTTTTGTCTTTCTTTATGGAATATTTATATTGTTCTCTAATGAAATTAAACTCGGGAGTGCAGGCTTGAATCTTGTCTGGCTTAACTGATAGCTTTTTTTCTCAACTCATTTTTTTTTCTTCTTCTTGAATGGGCCATTGCATGCAGACATTCTCAAGCGCACGGCGCTAAACATTTCGTCTGTTATTGTATTTAATTTGCCAAAAAAAGTTTCTACAAATTTTGAACTTTTTCTGATTGTAGAATTGTATTCATTTTCAGAACATTTCGAAGTTGAAGTGAAGTACGTTCAAGCAACGTGCTATGAGCATTTTCATATCATAGTTTGCTTTAGCATGCATTGATCTTGTGAGGTGGTCGATCTATTATGCAGCAGTTTGAAATGCTACCATGAATGTTACAATCAATATGCCTAATATTGAAATGAATCAAACGCAACTATTTCGTCCTGGTCACGATGCTATTTATTAACGCTTAGAGGCGCTGCTCACAAACAAATAAATGAAATAAAATATCTTTTAGGCTTGTTACTGCGATGTCTGCTTTGAACGTGTATCACTTAGCAGATGGTATGTATTCCATGGCATAGTTGCGTGTTGTAAGATCGTAATTTTTGTCTCGCATTGAACAAAAAGCTTGTATGGTCGAGATCGTAAGATAACATCTGCCATCAATGACGCATAATCTGACCTATTATAAAGACCGTATAGCACTGATCAGAAGATAATTCTTGAAAATATGTTTCAATTTTGTTTGTGTTTTGCAAATTTTGGTTATAAAATCAATCATAGGTGGCGATTAGGATTTTTCAACGCCAATGACACACTGACTCGGGTGTCAAGGACGGCAGAAGGTTTGTGTATAAATCAAAATTTAATAGGAGTAAGCATGCTCGTTTTTTATACGTAAACACCAATGAGGTTTCATCCATGCAACGTTCGTGGCAGTCACTCGAAGAAATACCTCGCAAATCTTGTCTGAATAACTTATGATCTCGCGAAGTATATGCGTCGAACAACTCGCCTGAATGTACAAACTTGGATGAAAGCGCGCCGAAGCCTTCGGTTTCTCTTGATTTGTGGGCAATAAGCTTTTCTGTTGCCGTAAAACTACTAACAGAATCCAACCCAACTTCCTTCACAAGTTAAACCTGTCTTTATTGAAGACTTCGCTTACAGCAAACAGGAAGATATATCCCAGTGAATGTCTGATGTGAAGACTGAAGATGACGATTCTGTTTGTATAATTATAGTTTGTACAACACTTGGCTTGCCTGTACTTATGTCACGTCACACTTGGTTTTCAAGTGAGTGATGAGCGAGCATAGAATCCGTAAATTGAAAATGAGTATTTCTACTTCAAACGAAGTTTTTAAAGTTCGTTTGAATAATATTTGGCTATCCTTGTTTACATTACGTTTTTCTCGACGCCATGTCGAGCAGATGCCATAAGTAATGTGCAATATCGCTTCCTGTTTAGCCTTGATGTCTGTCTTCTGTTCAGAACTGATTTCAGTCTTAAGTAACGCAAATTTGGTTATGATTCTATTCTCCTATCTTTACCTGTATCTCCTGTAGAGGCACCTCATTTTTCTCTTTTATTATTCTAAGCCACAACACAGAATTGCACGAAACACTTGACGTGATATGAGGATTTCTTCCTCCATCAGAAGGTCATGAATGCGTTGGTTGCTAGCACGTTGTTGATCCGATGGATGTATACACATTTGTCTGTGGATAGAATCTAGCGGCTTCTTATTCAGAACCGCTGTAATTCATATGTTGTTACGTCTTGAACGTTTTCATTTCACTTCCTTTGTAAATATTCAAGTTTGTGATGTATATTTTGTTGTCTTCATTCTAGAGATTATTTAGCTTTAGTTCGTGTATTGCTTCTTCAGGTGTCATTTATTAGTAGAATTGTTGAGGAAATATTCGTTCAGCTTGTGAATGCTTCAGTAATTTTTTAAAGCAGTTTCAATTAACTGTGCTATTCCTGAAAGCAAATTTTTATGGGATCTGTTATTATTTGCCCTCGCTTGAATTCTCAGGGAATGAAAGCTGATCAAAAACTAAGAAATGTTGCCTTCTTGACTGATTAGATCTGAGCTTCTGGTGCATTAACATGGCGTGTAATCATGTTCTTCGTTATGAACACTCGTGTGTCGTGTGACTCGAACTCGAGTTTTCAATTCAAGGCATCGCAAAAGGCACTGATACATTTTTTGATGTGAAAATTTCCTGTTTTTTTTTATTCTTATGAAGATATTGTAAAAATTTGAAAATTCCTCTTGTGCTTGAAACTGCCGGTGGATACACTGTGTTGATGTATAGGGCAGATTTCTTCATTCAAACTGACATATTATGCAACAAATGGTTTTAATAAATTTCAAGACCAGCACCGATGCTGACGGGTTTTATTTTTCTTTGTAGATCTCTTAACTGTATTTCCTCCTTAGACGTTGATTCATCGCCACCTTCTAAAATAATTATCAATTCAGGCGGGACTTTTGGCCCTTGTTGGCTCTCTTCACATCGCGTCTAACGTAGATGCGGGTTCTTCGCGCGCTCTGTTGCGGCAGTCTTCATTTCTGCACTATTTATTCCGTGCATCGGCTACCTAGTAAAACTATTTTCACCAAGTCTCGTTGTTTTATTACCATACGTGTTATTTTCTAACCCATAGAGCACATCTTCAAGATCAACGGATGTGAACTCGCACGTGGTTGACTTCCACATGGAACTCCGGGTCGTTCTTATGTGATAATATTGTACGAAAATAATTTCCATGATGATATATTGTGAAATATTTAACTTTTGAGCATTCGACCATTGATTTGACTAAGAATTTCATTTAGATCAGCACACGACCTGTTTCCGAGAGTACCTTTGTACTAAAATAATATTTCTTTCAACCATTTCCGTTTCTTATATTACCTGCTTTCTCTAGTCACATTGTAAAAAACCACTCTGGCTTTTTACAAAATTTGCAAGATAATTTATTTTCTTCTACACTCGGTGTGGCCGAGTGGTAAGATTGAGACAGCGAGTTATGGGTTCGAAACCCGCAACTGGTTGCGAAAATTCCGCTTGAGATCTGTAGGGAGCCATGGTGGTTAAGAGTCTGTGACCGGTCAACATTTCCTTGTTAAGGCTGACTCCACCGTATTATTACCAACAGTATGTCTCGAATCTTTAGTATTTGCATCTTACAAATAGTTCGTTCACGCACCATACATGGAGCATGTAAGTGCGTGTCTAGTGTATGTGTAGGTAGAGACAAGTGTTCGGCGACACAGGTTAGCAGGTGTTCCGTGCATTGCAGCTGCTGGAAGAGGCGAGAGCCAACACAAGCCGACTACTTCTTAGCTTTGTGCGGTGTTGTGTGGAACACACCCTGTGTACTTCTTAGCTTTGTGCGGTGGTGTGTGGAACACACCCTGTGAACTTCTTAGTTTTGTGTGGTGGTGTGTGGAAGACACCCTGTGTACTTCATAGCTTTGTGCGATCATGTGTGGAACACTTCACGTATACTTCATTGTATACGTGAAGTATACATTGTGTGTGAATTTGTGAAACACTTCACTCTCTACATACTTCATTGTAGCATGCTATCACGTGTTGGTCGTGCGACATATCTATGGCGAAGATTTGATCGTGCTGAAAATTTTAAACGCGTTTCGTAGCTTGTTGAAATCATGTGCGGAAAAAAGCTTCATATTCGTGGCTTCAACTGATCGTGTGTGAAACATGAGATATTTTCTCGTCTGTAGAAAATCGTGCATTCCCGAGTGAAGCCTTCAATGTTACCAACAGATCATCATACACTTCAGTTCCTACCAGTTATAGACTTATAGTTATAGCGATTATTTTTATATCATCAGTTCATTCCGAGTTTCACACCAAAGACTGAAATTCAGCACATGATTCGCGAGAACGAATTCCATCTGCGAGGCAGACCAATGCGTTCACTCTGCTTTAGTTTTGTTCACCTGCTTATCAGTAGGTACTAGAAATTTTATTATCCCAATTTTCGCTGTAATTGTAATAATCGTAAACACTTGAGCAAGGACATAAACTTATGATTAAAAATGTGAGTTATGGAGCATGGTTTGGGTAATAACAGGCCATGCTTTTGGCCCTCCTGATCACTCAGGGGGGGGGGAATTCTGACGCGTGTCTGTGCTCTTCAGAAGTCATATACGGGATTTCGCGCTCCTAGGGGGATTGTTCCTGAGCGCCCCACCGCTGAGCTCGCGGTGTCTGACTGCAAGCCTCAGTTGTGGGGTTAAGTTATTATGTAGGCAGGATTCCTTACATTAAGTTATTATGTATGCAGGATTCTTTACATTAAGTTATTATATAGCCTATAATGTAGGTAGGATTCCTTACATTTCCCTTCTCTGTCTCTCTCGTGCGGGCGGCCGACGTCCCGTGTAAGCGACCTCTTGTTCGAGTGTCTTCGTTTCTGTTGCTTTTCACCTGTCCTTCCTTGTCACTTCGTCTCTTTGAGATGCTAACGCTGCTTCTTTCGAGCCAGCTTCAGCGGGCTGGATAATTGAGACCTTCCGCCCCTTGTGGGTGATGATTAATTGGAGATTCAGATTAATTGTGACCTTCCGCTTCGCTGGCGATGTTAACTTTTGACTTCCGGTGCGAAATAACTTGATAGCTGAAGCGCTAACAAACCATTATACTACTACTACTTTGGCTCTTCTGATCACGTATGTTGAGTCGCTGCTTGACTATTTCGTGCATTGCGATTAGGACGCGCGTTTTAATTCTTCTCTCATTAGACTATTCCTTTACGTGTTTCGGACGTCAGCAGCCCCGCAGGCCGTCGGGAGCGGCGCCGTGTTATTCCGCCACTCTCAGACCTCGGTCGGCAGGCAGGACTTTTCGTGTGCCTGATTCAAATGCGGATCTATTTCCTTGATGCGGTTGTTTCCATTTCTATACAACAGGTTTTCGTTTGGCAATTATTTTGTCTCTATGACATACATTCACAACATCCAATACGTGTTCACCAACTCCTATGCAACATCACTCGCCCGTGTCCTGCCTTCTTTGTAATATCACATTATATGTGATGCATGTGTGTAGCATCTTTTGTAACGTCGTCTTATGTTGTGTGAACGTTTGCTCGGTAATTTCACATCGTGTGTGCCTCTTATTTTTTTGTGACATAACACAGTGTGTTTCATGTTATATCACATTTAGTGTGTAAAGTGTTTAATATAACATGGCATCGTGTTTGACGTGTTTCATGCAACATCATGTTGTGTGTGTGTCGTGTGCTTCATGTAACATCACTCGTATGTGCTCTGTGTTTCATATAACATCATATCGTGTGTGTTCTGCGTTTCATATAACATACAAGAATCTTCGACAGGCCTATCCAGGCCTATTCTTTTATGCCAAAGATACGATACTATACTATACTATATCGTGTGTGCCCTGTGTTTTAAATTACAGTACCGTGTATTGTTTATAACACGCTATTGTTTATATCATCACTTTATTTATAACAGTGATGTTATAAACATATCACTACGTGTAAGCCCTGTGTTTTACTTCATACCGTGTGACCCGTGTTCCACATCATGTGTTGTGTGTTCTGTCCTGTGTAGTGACACATCACGTATACTGTCTCTGTCTCTCGCACGTGTGCAAGTGTGTCCTCAACACCTGCATCACAGCGGCTCACCAAACAGTCGCGGCTGGCGTCTAGTGCGAGCAGCAAGCGTAACCCCGCTACGTGCACCTGTGAAAAGAAGTTTTTCGTCCGTAGTTTAGCGCAAAATTAGCAAATTTGTGTAAATAAAACCTCATGCGATCAATAGTGGGAAATAGATCAAATTTAGTTGTGAATACACGAATTTATAAAAAAATTTTTGATCCCTAACATGTATGGCTGTTGACACTAGGGGAATGATTATTGTGTAAAAAAAATTAATTTAAACTTTATCAAAGATGAAACACATTTCTGTGTCAAAACAAATGAGCTTGCAAAAGATCAGGCTATTATCTTTGCTTTTCCCTGAACATATTTCGGTCAGATTTCCTGTCTGGATAGACCAGACTAAATGTTCTAAGGGATTTTACGGTGCAATATTAATTCATTCTGGTATTTAAATGAAAGCTTGTGCAGAACGTATTTTAAAGATTAGTCAAACATTACAAAAATCGTTACAAAATAGCCGATTTTGAACTAATTTTTCGTTCGTTACTATTGTGTAATAAATTTGTATTTTATCAATGTATCTAACAGATTTTTACTTATACCAATTATGTTTTTACAGATTTGTTTTTGTAACCCACAAATGATGTGATTACATTTAATTATCTCACCACTATATAGACTCTATCTTCTCCATTTCATTTATAATCTTATTTCACTTTCATTTTAAGCCATAACATTATTATTGTATAGCCAAAATGATGACTGCTCACAGCTCCTCTCTTGCGTACGAAAGTTTGCCGACGGAAGAAGGAGGTACGCCACATTCTCACTCCTTCAGGGAAGCCGATTACTCTCCTTCTGTAAGTCATCACCCTATCCCGACCGCAGAGCAGTCCTTCAGAAGGAGTAAAGTGATGACAGGAGTGCTCGTCGTGCTGCTCCTGCTGGCGTCGATCGTCCTGGGTGTGGTCATCTCTTTGTCTGCTAGACAGCACGCATATCAAAAGATTTTCGGGCCCGAAGTTGACACTTCGATTACGCATTCCCCGCCCGCGGGAACCAATGGCCGAGTGGGTAGTGAAGGTGGAGGAAGCAATGCTCCTACCAAAGAGGACAAGGTGAATATGCCCTTAAATGATGTGTTTGAATTACATTATGTATTTGATCGTAACTCTACTCGCTAAAATGTATGGATACATAATAATTACATTTGATCATGAAGATATGCCTTGATTCTTCGCTGGGCCAAATTTCCAGCACTGACTTGGTTCTTGATTTTATATGCCAGAAGCAATAATTTTATTAGGTCAATTATAACGAATTTTTATTCCGATTTTAAAATTGCACGAGAACCAGAAATTATATCCCCATAACAATCTTTTACTTGCCGGCACAAATTTTGCGACAATTTCGCGAAGGCTTCGTTAATGAGCTCGCATTATTTCTCGTGTGTTTGTGCTGCGTGTGCCTCAACGGCAGGCTACGTGGGTTTTCTTATCTGACGGTGCGCAGGTTTCCTGTGCAGACGATTAGCATCGGCAGACTGAGATGGGTAGTCCAATGAGTCTAAAGTTGTAGCCAAACCAACTGATATCGTTCAAACATAAATGACAAATATATATGCATTATCCCCTAATTTAGAAACAATGTGTGTTCTTTCATTAATATAAAGTTGCTGCTCATTATTCTTTTTGGAAAAAGTTGAAAGTAATGTACACACATGATCTTGATTTTTCAAATAACAATTCCCCTACATCAAAGAAATGTGCAAAGGAGACTCTAAATAAGACTTTTTCTCATTATAGTCATTGTCAAATATCTAATTTGTTCTAAATTTTCACAGCTAAATGGCTATGGCGGAATAAATGCTGCTGGAGGCAATCATGGTACAAATACTGTCATTCGTCTGACCACCCCCATCATACCTACTACATCACCACCTCCGCCTCCCACAACTACCTCTACCACTTCAACCACTTCCACCACCACTCCTACCACTACCACTCCCACCACTACCACTCCCACCACTACCACTCCCACCACTACCACTCCCACCACCACTTCCACAACCACTACTACAACCAGCACCACCGCCACAACCAATACGACGCCTCGTCCCACAACTCAGAAGGTAACGGAACCTCCAACCACATTGAGACCTGCGGTCCTCGATGGTTCTGGATCAGGGAGCGGTCAAGGGGCAGAGTCTGGTCGAACATCTACACCTACAAGTGAAAAGGACAACTCGAATGACGTCAACTCTCACATGAGAGTTGTGGATTACGTGGTCGGTTTTGATATAAGCTCTTTCAACTTAATGTTTTTGTTAGAAGTTTTCATAATCGTTCCAACCTCACATCATTATATTTCCTTACCTCTCGTTATTGCTGATGATGAAACCCATTCTGGGATGAAATCTTGAAATAATATGAGTGGATTGATTGCATTTTGAATTATTTAAGGCTGGAACTTATTCCATTCGTAAGATTACTTGTTGCGCAGCTGATAATTTCATTACTGACCACAACCATGTAATTAAATTACTTTTCCGATGAATATCAAATATTATATGACCTTATTATTCTGTTATTTGTTTGTAGGTTAAAGATAATTGGCCCTTATATGACACAAGGCATCATATTTTCTTCTCAATGAGTTTTTGTCACACATGGTGTCAAGTTAAATAAATAATTTTATGTCTGAGCAATATAAGAAAGTAGCTCTCAGCCGTCATAGTAGGAACGTTGTTCATAGTTCATTCCCATACTTTTGCCTTACATGTGAGACTCCGTCAGAAGAATTGAAAGTTTGCTTATTAAAATATTAAAATACCCCCCGAATGTTAATCTCATTGTATTTTTAATTACCTACTAAATTGAAAAATGGTTTATTCTTCAGGTGCAAAAATATTTTATCGTCTCATTTGGGATCATCTCCAGTCTGTGAATTCAATTTTGTGTCATGCGCAATCGATAGCAAGGCGTTGAACAACATTCATTCTGGACTGGCGGAGTCAAACGGAGTTATCGATCCAAAAATCTACTATCGCACCCACTCATTCAGCTGGGCGCATTTGCACCGAGCCGTACAACGTCCCTTTATTCGATAATAACTTGAAAATTTCACCTTCCAATTGCTATGTTCTATTAATTTCAAGTTTGCTAATTTATTGCACTTGTATTATATAATTTTTGAGCTAACAATAAAACTGGACGCGTAATCGTCTAAATCGAAAGATATGATGCATTTTTTAATCATAATGTTTGCTTATCATTTATTTGTTGCTTCTTGATCTAGGCGATTGATTGATTTTAATGCACTGGATATGGTTGTGAAACAGGTGATCCTGCAGAACAAACTGTCGCCTGGAGCGGCCATCGGCATCCTGGTGGCCCTCGTGGTGGCGTGTGTGGCGGCAACCGTGGCCATCGTGTGTGTCGTGAGGCGACGCAACACGGCAAGAAGGCGTCGTGCGCACGTCAGGGTGAGACATCGGTCGAGATGTAAAGATTTTGTCATTTTGAGAGCACATTATGGTTATTAAAGTGTAGGGACTGTGATAAAGATAGAAAAAATAGGACTCTAGCCCGAAGCCCAAACACAATGATGAAACTATGTATATTATCCTGAATGCAGACTTTAAATTTTTTGGGTAGGTTTGATGTTGGCAGACAGGCCCACACCTCCCATGTCCAATGAGACTTATATATTTATGGCAGTGCGCGAGGCGCACAGAAAGCTCGAGAAACTTTACATAAACAAATGCTGTATATAATTGATGTCTAAATAAGGCGGGCGTCAAAAACTCGGTTATTATATTAGCTGCTAGATCCAAGTTTGGTGTTCTCAAAAGCGTAATAAATGAGCTCCCAAACCACACAGCTCGTGACATCGTCACTGCGAGTCTCTTGTTGTATAACTCCTCATGGGTCATGGGTTGAATTATGTAGGCAGGATACCTTGAACATCTCTTCGTCTCTCGCATGAGTGACCAGCTGTGGTCCCGCGCAAGCGACCTGTTGTACACGGGACGCCTGTCGGAGACCACCACTGCCGTGCTTCGAATGGACTATCATGATCCCTTCCCTGAAGAACGTGGCCTACAACACTTCTTGACTGTAACATTATCAGCCGCACGCCACCAGACAGATCACATTCATTGAATTAGATCAATCAGCCCTCAGTAAATTAGCCTTACGTCGTATGGCACAGCGTCGTCTGCCAATACGCGAAAAAATTTTACACCACCCGGACGGAGCGCGCCGTAGCCGTCAGCTATACGGTCGGACGGCCATGCGTCGTACGACGATAAATTTTGGAACAGAACTATGCTATCTGGAACCTAACCCCAGATGCTGTGAGCTAAAAGTTGCGTAATTTTGCGAAGCTGCGAAAGTCGGTCGTAGAAGGACGATAGATTTTGGAACAGAACTATACTTTCTGAAACCTAACCCCGGATGTTGTGAGCTAAAAGTGACCTTCTGGTGGTGCACGGCAGGATGCATGCAGTTCCACTGGCGACTGGGCTGGTTGGTCGCAGTCCGTTGTCCGCAAGTTACAGTTCGAGCTAAAGTCAGGGTGTGAAGTGATGATTCGATGCAACGTTCAGTGGTGGACAACTATTATTCTCTGGGCTATTCGCTTCAGAATATGGTGGCGTAAAGCTCCTGATATTTAAAGCAAGATGATGTCATGGGCTGGTTACCGACGGATGGCCTAATCCGCGGCTGATTGGTGGTCATCCGGAAATATGCTAGGCGTTCCTTTCAAGGCTGATTGGTGCCCAAATTTGGTGGTGCACGGCTGCGTACCCTTGTACTGTTGTACACGTGTTTTTGGTACTGTTGATAGTCACATCTCCCTTGATCTTTTGTTGTTTTTCCAAGGTGCGGAATGTTACTTTCTACTAAAGGACGTTCCTCAGCGGAGTCTTTTGGAACCTCATCCCATGTGCTTGATGAATGACTTTGGATTAGATAAAATTTAGACGTTTGCAATGAATAATTTATGACCGCCGTTGGCTGGGGTACGCAGCCGTGCACCACCAAATTTTTGCACCAATCAGCCTTGAAAGGAACGCCTAGCATATTTCCGGATGACCACCAATCAGCCGCGGATTAAGCCATCCGTCGGCAACCAGCCAGTGACATCATCTTGCTTTAAATATAAGGAGCTCTACGCCACCACATTCTGAAGCGAATAGCCCAGAGAGTAATGGTTATGCACCACTGAACGTTGCATCGAATTATCACTTCATACCCTGACGTTAGCTCGAACTGTAACTTGCGGACAACGGACTGCGACCAACCAGCCCAGCTCGCCAGTGGAACTGCATGCATCCTGCCGTGCACCACCAGACCTTCACTTTTAGCTCACAACATTGGGGTTAGGCTTCAGAAATCATAGTTCTGTTCCAAAATCTATCGTCCTTCGCCAAGCGACTTCCACAGCTTCGCTAAATTACGTAACTTTTAGCTCACAGCATCTCTGGTTAGGTTCCAGATAGCATAGTTCTGTTCCAAAATTTATCGTCGTACGACACGTGGCCGTTCGACCGTGGGCTGATTCGACACACGGCCTAGATACGGACGGCTTGAAGTGTTGAAGGCTACGTTCCGGATGCAGGAATCATGATGGTCCATTACATCCAGGGCAGGGGTGGTCTTCGGCAGGCGTCCCCTCTAGACAGCCCTGCTCTACTACTTTTACTTTTTTACTACTTACTAAAAGTACTTCTTAAATATTTGAATGTCTACAATAAGAGATGTTATCAATGCATGTCGAGTGGCAAATCTTGACTAACGAAAAAATCGTCAATTCAAATAAGTCTGCTCACGAGTTATCGACTAACTCAGTGTATTTAGCGTTTGTTGATGCAAGTGCAACAATATTGACGCGATGACACACTGGCTGAACGTGGCACGCGTTGGATGTTGTCGGATTGAAGTTATGAGTACAAGTCAGGTGTGACAAAATATTTTTCACCAGAAAATATATATTTTTGGCGATTTAAAAAAACAGCATGTTGAATCATTTCATTGACGCGCACTCAAATGAGGACAATCAACAATTGGGAATTTAGGAAGCACCCCTATATTGCCCGATTAAAATTTCATGAGAAGTAAGAACTATTTCACGAGAAATAGGAGTTAAAGTTTGTTACTTGACATTATCTGTTCATGCGTGATACATGTATGCATACATTATTAATTACTATATGTGAATTCCAAAACTGGAATAACTGATTATTTCTTCATATTACAGCGTGCCATCAATGAACTACGAGATCAAGGCAAAGCAAACCTCCTTCAGTCTGACGACGAGGCTTAGAACACACCAAACTTTTCTTGCGATGAAGGCTACCGCCACAGTCACGCTGGCGCTGCCTTCAAATCTTTCTCCCAGGCCTAGGAATCGAACCCGAATTTCCTGAGTCCAAGTTATGTGTGCAAGCATCGATGTCTATAGTGCGCACGTACAGCGTGGGCAGGAGAAAATGATTTAATCTGAAATTACATTTACGAGTTATTGTCTACTCTAGTATATCAACTTTATATGCCATTGTTCTTTGGTCTATCTTGCATTAAGGATTTATGAGTGAAAGAGTGATCTATATAATGATTCTAATTTGAAGATTATTTGACGACAGACACGTAAAATCTTTTATTTAGTGATAGATTGTCTTTGCCGAAAGTATTTTCAGAGAGTGCCAAGTCTCTTTTTAGTTTTTCGTAAGCAAACGAATCAGTAATTTAACTATCGGTCATATTCCATTTTAATTTTCCAACAGTAGCTAGAATTTATTTGACGATGCTAATTATTTTAGATACAACGGTCCAACATGCAAAGTAAATTTCGCTCATCATTCTGCACAGCTCCTACACTTTTGGGACGGTTTTTTGAAACAAATTTTCATAGCAAGAATTTAATACATAACATTTTCCAACCAAAACCAGTCATGACCAAATCTTAAAATAATTTACAATAGATGCATTTAAGATCTCAACGCGAGGGGAATTGTGTGTTGAGTATTTTTTCCCGAACATGAACAATGTAAATTATTCTTCATTATCATTTAATTCAAGGGAGGCGACTCGAAAACTATGAAAATGTATTCAGAGTTTCAATTCGTTACAATTTCTGTTGATATGTTGTCTTGGAACTGTGGTCGCCGAAAATTAAGTGAAAAATATTCGACGATTATAAGCAAAATCCTTTCTTCAATGGTTTCAGTGATATCGCGCATGAAAGCGTTTTTCCTATATCAAGACGTGTGCTCAAAAGCTCAAAACATACGCTTAATTGTCTAATTTCAACTGATTTCATTGTAATTTTCAAATATTAATATAAAAATTTGATAACTGTTGAAACCTAACTAGTCGTGGTGTCAGGGTTTTTTAATGAATTGTTCGTACTTTTTCATATAAATACAGTATATCACCATAATTGGGTCTTATTCACTCCCACTTGACAGGTTTGTTGACTGGGCTGATATGTGGCAGCTGCGTTTTAAAGCTGACAAATGTAAAGTAATCCACCTTGGCAAGAAAGAATGCGCCATTACAGTATGAGAATCGGCGATAGGCCACATCAGGCCTACGCTTCAGCGCCGACATCACTATGTTATGTTATGTTATGTTATGAGAAGACATGGATGCAACGACAGAGTGATGATGTCGAAGTCGACAATTGAAAAATGTTTAGGAGTTAATGTCGACAATGAGCTGAAATTGTCGAAGCACATTGAAGCTCATGTTAATAAAGCCAATAAACGAATTGGATTGATAAGACGCTCGTACGAGTATATAGATGCTGAAGCGATGAAACTGTTATTTGTCGCTGTCGTGCGTCCAAACCTAGAGTTTGGAAACGACGTGTGGTCAACAAAACTACAAAAAGACAAAAATTTAGTCGAGAGTGTTCAAAGACGTGCAACAAGGATAATTCCGGGATTAAAAGGCAAACCTTAAAAAAAGGTTAAACATTATGAAGCTTTTAAGCTTCTGTTATCGACGTCTGCGTGGTGACCTCATTGAAGTATACATGTATACCCACGGTTGTTACAAGGTCCCAGAAGGATTACTAGAATTTGAAATAAGAACCAACACCAGGGGCCAATGCTTTAAACTAAAAAAACTGCGTTCTAACACATCCATGCGACAACATTTTTCTCGCTTCGAGTCACTGACATGTGGAACAGCCTCCCTGATAGCTTCGTTGACGCTCCGAGTGTGAACGCCTTCGTGAACAGACTACTAGACGAAGCTATACACGAACATATGTTCAGTCTTGAAATGCCTAGCACCTAACAGGCCGCAGCTATCTCAAGTCCAGCAGCTATCTCAATCAATCGCCAGTTTTGGAAAGATTGGGTTCAGAAGGCCGGATCCCTTGTGTAATTAAGTCACAGAAAAGTACAAGAATTGGCAACAGGCCATATGGGCCTATTTCTCCAGTGCCGACACTTATATTCTCTCGTCTCTAAGGACATACATTATTGTTACAGCTTTCCTCAGGATTAAATCTCACTTCTTCACTTCACTTAAAGAATTTTATATATTTTTGCCTAACCGCTCAATTGATATATTTATTTAACAGTCACCAGCGGAGATGAATGCGAACGGTAGTTTTGATTACGAGCATCATGTCCGCTGTAACGGATGTTCTGTTAGCTGTCGCCTGCAAAAACTGCCGGATTTTCATCAGTGCAATCTAGAAATTTTAATATTGCAAGCTCCAAAAATGCAAAAAGGTTTAAGGTTTTTGCATCTTTTGTAATCATTTGAATTCATTGAAACCTTCTATTGTGCGGTTCATCCTACTCTGATTTAAGATATATTTTAAGTGTCTACATAATTGGTACTTGGTTTTAATTAAGGAGAGTAACTTAGGATTAGGAATAGGAAGTAGTGTAAAATGTTTAACATTGGTGAAAACTTTCAAAATATGCTGTTAATCTTGATCTTGCTATTTCCAAATTTTGTTGCTAGACTCAACATTTTGGATAAAAACATCTGAAATAAATTAAATTGTTTTCTTTGTTAATGCAGGATCTTGACCAGTTGACCATTCTATAATCTATGGCAAAATAGCTAACTTGTATTTGTATTGAAATAGGGTAAACGCGGTATATTCCGACATCGTAGGTAATTCCGTCACTTCTCTAGTTTTTCCTTTATATTAAGCTTTGTATTAGTTCCATGCTTTCATTGATGGTTGAAATGGTGACGTCATACATAGTGAAGGCAACAGAACTTACGTAACGCATACGGTTTTTTTTATAGTTTTTCATTTCTCAATGCATCCTTAAAGTGTCGGAATATACCGCATTTACCCTATATTTGAAGCCTAACCTCTTCTTCAAAGTGGAAAATTAGACAGAAGACACCCATAAATTGCAATTGCCAAAAATGTGTATAAATCTGGTCAATTTTACTTATTTTCATGGTCTTTTATTTATTTTTTTCAGTGAAAATAAGAATGATGGCCAATTTTAGTATTTAGCCTAGGCTATTTATACTTGCTTTTTTTTAATTGCCGGCAAAGCTGTGAGGCAATCATTTTTAATTGCAATTATAGAAAATGTCTGCCTGATATTCCTAAATGGCCATCTTTCAGCCTTTGAGCTCAAGACCAGCTTGGAAAATTTTCATGTTTGTTAAAATTCTCAAAATATAGGGTAAACACTCCATATTCTGACACATTAAAGATATACCAAGAAATGAATGGCTATAAAAAGATCACCGTATGCGCAACTCAAGTTCTGATTGCTTTATGTCACTACGCGCGGGCCATAGTGGCAAACCACAGCTTTTTTAGAATCAGTTCATTTTTAATTTCCTCATTTACCCAAGATTTAAATCAATTCCTTTTGTATGATACTGCTGGTATCCAGGATACTTTACTGGTCTACTTATAGCCAGTTATAGGACTCACAAATGAACTTGAGAGAGAGTCTAAAAAACTCCCTGCTTTGCCACTATGGCGCGGGCAACGATGAAACGTCACAAACTGTTGCCATATTTATTTAAAAGCCTTTAGAATTCAAATCTTCAAAATCCCTGAATTCCTATGCTGTGTGTGACTAAATTTAGCATATTGTGAGACTAATTCTGACAGTGCTTCAAACTCTTACTAATTTGTAATTCTGACACCCTGTGTCGGAATTCTGACGCCCTGTGTGAGCTGTATTGGAATAGCTACAACACAACTTGGAACGAGCATAATTAGAAAATTTTAATTCTTTAATTAAGCTTTTAATTAAGAGCTATTAAGCTTTTAATTAAGAAAATTTTAATTTTTAAACACAGCTCGGAACAAGCTGTGTGTGTCCAATTCCAAGCTGTGTTGGAATTAGTTTTTATGTGTCTAAAACCGTCTCTTGACTTAATCATCTAATAATTTATTTACCACGTAAAATCAGCAAATAGCCAAATACAAGTATACTTAAAGGATTCCTATATATATTTACAGACTTATTTAAAAGTCTCAAACCATAATATTCTTTTTACACAAACAGTTTATCACTATTTGGTAGAGCAAGGTCAACTATCAACTTTGACCTGTGTTTTGATGTTCTCACTAGTTGACTTGGACTTTTGCTCTGAGGATCTTAACATTTTCCCACTTGACCTAGTGTTTTGCGGGAATCTGGCGCGCAATAGTATGACGTCACTATTTCAACCATCTACACATGCATGGAAGTAAGACAAAGCTCAATATAAAGGAATAAGTTGAGAAGTGTCAGAATTACCCATGATGTTAGAATATGGTGCATTTACCCTAACCAATATATAACATGATTTTAGATTGATTTTTCTACATTGGCTTTGTCCCCCAAAGTGAAAAATTAAGTTGAAACCACACGTGAATTGGTAAAAATGTCTGTAAATCTGGCTGTTGTCATCTATTTCTATCTTGCAGGATTGGAATTTTCCTACTTGTTTCTGAAATCTTGTGGCTCCAATGGGACAAATTTTCAATACATTTCAATCTTGCAGCCCGACCCTGCACTTTTGTTAACAATTAGAAAGGAGTTGATTACTGTTTATTCATCTAGCAGAAATTGCACAGTGCCAGAAATGGCAGGAAAGCTCTAGTTGTAGCCCTAATGGTAGAAGTTTTCCATGCTTGTTTCTATGGTCTTTTTTCCAATTTCTGCAGTGAGAAAAATGGTATACTTTTACCTACAGTTTCCAAAAATTACATGTGAATAATAATTTTACCAGCAATTTTAGGAAATTTTTGCCCAACATTCTGCATTTGTTATGTTTTTCTCAGTCGCCTGTAATGAATTTTAATGACTAACAAGTATACCTACTTGAACAATTCATGTAAATGATGCAATTAACCCTTTAGCAGGCAAGCATTGAAATATCCAAAAATTAAAATTTCAGAAATCATTTCAAGAAAGTAAGAAGTATTATATACAATATTTATTCAAATGTATTTATTTTTTATTTTGCCTATTAGAGGTTTTAATTGCACTTGAAGAATTCATTAAATGCAGTCAGTACACAAAATTTTTCTTGATAATTAAAATTTAGTTATGCAAAATAGAAATTATTAATATTACAATTTAATTTAATTCAATTTAATCAAGTTACTGGAAATAATTAAATATATATTGATACATCCATCTTTCGAAAAATGCAGAAAGAGCGTCAATTCCATCATCTGAGTCTAAACTTTCATTTAAATGCTCATTTTAAATTTGTGAGCAACTGAGCATTGCAGGTGGTGATGCTATTGATGGAACAATGGTCAGATAATTAGTGATTGACTGAGGCTTGACAAGGAAGCCTCAAAGACAAATAGGAAGCCATAGTGGGGCTATTTGTGAGGCAATTTCAAGTGATCATATATGGTAACCTCCCCATGAAAAGGTTAACTATAGAATGGCACCATGACAGTAGCTATTCTGGAAAATCCAGCACAAGAAGCCACTGGTGAATGAGACAAAATTTCCTGTACTTTATTGATTTCACCTATTTTTGAAGTTGTTGTCTCATTTATTAATTGTAAAAAAGATTATTGGTACAATTTTGGCTATGATTTTCTAAAATGGCCAATTAAATAATAGGTTCTAACTCTGATTTTTTGAAGTTTCTGCCAAATATTCCAGATTGGAACAGAAGCTCAAAATTTATTTTGATTTTTCCACTTTGAAGACTGGCAACATCAACACTCTTACTGTGTCCATCTGAATATTGTAACATTTCATAATTTTTCAGTAGACAAAGTAATGCATTTCATTGATGTTATATTCCTGCCATAGGAGACAAGTCTCCACATCTCCTTTGGCATGAATGCAGGCAAGTTGAATAGTTTTTTAGCATTTCTAACTAATTTTCTATGATGTACAGATATATTTTTAATGTTTTATGTATTACTATTTGCAGGATCAAATAATTAATATTTATAGCTCTTTTTTTTGGCCTATTGAATTTATATGATTATGTGAATTTTTAGACAAAATGGGCTTCCTACATTCCCCTTTTTTGTGTTGAAGGCTACATTATCACTACTCTCTGCCTCTCACATTGACCTCATCTTTCTACTATGAAATACATAACATTGCTTCATAATGCTGTAAAATTAGAACAAGAACATTTGAAACTAAATGGTACATCTGACACCAAAATACTGTAGATATATATAGGCTTTCAAGTTTATTAAAAATAAGTTGCAATAAATAATAAAAAAATAATTTTAAATAATGTTTAAAAAATATCATTTATCCTTTATCATTTAAAATAATGTTTAAAATTTGATATCATTGAATTACATCAAATTTCTATAGTTTTTTACATTCAAATTTTATTTCAGGTTTTGGTAAATGTTATGAACATGGTGACCATTTTAGTTATAAAATGATTGCTTCATATTGAAAAGTTTATTACTAAATATAGTAGTCTTAAAATAAATCATACTTTCCAGTTATAATGTAAAAAATGCTTTTTTTTTACTTTATTAACATTAACATATTATATAGTTATACTGTTATATTCTAATATTATGTACTTATTTGTTTGGGTTGATAATAGTACTCCATATTGATCTTTAATTAATTTGAATGCCATCTGCATTGCTAGTGCATGAAATGATGTCATTACTTAAGGCAGGGTATATTTACCAGGTAAATTGAATAATGCTTGGTATTCTGTACTGGTAGTCATTTAAAATGAACCATTTTTGTTGCCAGCTCTCAATGTAAGGGACATCAAGAAGATGCTTAATCCTGACACCCATTCTTTGATTGGTAACTTCTTGCTTATTTTGTGCTTACCCAATGGATGATATGTCTTGAATGAGCCTTTTAATTCAAATCTTTGTCTTCCTTGTTGAGTTGTTGTGAGGGTTGCACATACAATTGTCATTCTTTTTAACTTTTCAAACTGGTTTTTGTCATGAAAATAAATTTTTTAATATTGAGGTTTATTTACAATTTCATGCTGTTCACTCACTCTTAATCTAAAATCTGTTTTTTTAATTACTTGTACCATACATGATTTCTGAAAATTTGATGAAAATTTACTTTTGAGAGCATGGAAACCTATTTTTACCTGTTGATTCCTGATGATAGACAGTTTTTAGTAGATGTTATTTATTTTAAGCATGTTCTTTCGTTTATTTACATGTATATATATACTTTTGCAGGATATTTTGTGCTAGCATTAAATTTTCTTTTAATTTGGAACAAGCAGTTCCAAATATTTCTAGTTGCTTGTTCAAATATTTGTATTTGCATCTCATTGTGTAACTGGAAGAACCATTTACAATTGTGTCCAGTTGTGTTAACCATGTCTAATTTTTGTCATCTTTCTACATTTTAAAATTCAAATTTTTTCCTTGACAACTTCTAAACTCTGATAAAAAGGTTTAGTATGTTAAAGAATAGGTAGTGTCTAGTGATCATTCAGTTCAATATGCTGCCTATATTCCATTACATAGCTTCTATTCTAAATCTTGTTATTATATTATTTGGCAATGAGGTATTACTTTTCATTACTAATTACTACTGTATTATTTTTTAGGGAGGTATTATTAATACATTGCCTAGTCTCATCTTTTTCCTGTCAATTTTTGGCTCTTTTCACTAAGATTTGGATTGATGTTTGTGGCTTTTTTCTACACAAAGCGGCAAATATTCTATTAACTTAAGGTCATATGTTAGCCAAGCCTCAACACCACTAATGTGTCAACAGGTCTGAGTGAAGCAGAGCTCCTGGAGCGAGCTCGTGCTGAGCGAGCAGCCATTGTGAGCAAGTATGACCGAGGCCGCACTGAGGGAGACAATGAAGGCTCTGAAGAAATAGCACCTCCATGGGAAGACCCACAGTTTGAAGATTATCATGTCACTGATAAATGGGGATTTATCCAGTGAGTACTGAGACCATACCTATTTTTTTCAATTAACTTTAGTTTCTATAATATATGTTTATATTTTGAGATTGTTTTTTGTTACTAACTTCCTTTTTCATATAGAAGTAGTCAGTTGTGAAATTTATGAGATGTAGGTACCTATGTAGAATAATGTTCTTCATCGTAAATACTAAACCAAGAATCCAGGGTAGTGAAAAAACTTGTTTTGTGTTCAAAACGATAGTTATGTCCTATCTAAACCACACAACAATTTTAACTGCACTTATTTTTTGCAGTGACACACGTTTGCCTGAAACTCACACCAAAGAAGAAGAGCGCAGCATTGAAGTAGAAAAAAACCGTATGCTAAAGTGGAAGAAAATGACCAAGTCATGGGAAAAGTACCATGGGACTGGTGTCAAGCACAGAGCTGGTCAGTAATTCTTTGTCTTTTACAAAGTATTTTCTGTATAAGCTCTAAGTTCTGGAAGTTGTCTAGCAGGTTCATCTGAGACACACAAACATTCATGTGGATAAAGAATTTGGCATTTTTTCTGTTGCATTATGATGCTCAAATATTGGTGAACTGTGTTATCAGCCTCAAAAAAACTTCAAATATAGGTAACTATATTTTTAGCCTAAGTTTTATCATTTGCATTTCTGATCAGACTTGATTTATTTTATGGTGATCAAATCTTATTTAAATCAAAATAAAAATTATTAATAATGACTTTGAAAAAAATTAATAATGGTACAAGTAGCTATAATTCTTGCACTACTTCAAAAACCTTTTAACAATTGATGCTACATATTGACAGGAGGAGGGAGCAGCAAGAATATGCCAGCTCACCACCAAATCAGCGACAAGCTCTACAACAGAATATACAAAGGCATTCCTTCCAGCTTCAGAGGCTATGTTTGGGCCAAGCTCCTCAACCTGCCCACCGTCAAGGAAGAGCAGAAGGGCAAATATAATGTTGGTGATCCTTTCTACTTACTATCATTTTGATACAGATTCAAGATCACACAAAATTTTCACAGTAGTCATGCACTTTGCCTGGTAAATTTCATTTCCAATTATTCGCAAGTTCAAAATTGAGAGTCAATATGAATTGGAATTAAATGCTAAAATTCAGAAAATGCACTTGATGTCTAATTTTCTGTTCAGCAAGAAATGCAAGAAGAGAACTATTTCCTAAAAGCATTTAAAAAATTTATAACGGAATTAAAATTTTTTTAATGAACTTCCTCTTGCTTTTATTGCAAAAAAAGCAACTAAAAATCCCAGAAGGTATCACTAGATCATGCATGTTTCGTATTTCTGAGAAGTCTATAATAATTTACAGAACTTTTTCATAGAGCCTATGAATCTAGTACTTAGTCATTTTATCCGTTCCTATCCTTTCTTGTGTCTATTTATTTTATTGCTTGCTATTAATCTTAGGTGTGATGTGCCCTAAAAGTTCGTTTGAACCAGACGCCACCATAAATGCTTCTTAGAATAATAATAATAATTTATTTCACCTTAATTTTGTGATGCTGGTTGCATTTTACAACACTTCTCTTTAACCTCACTTCTTGTTTGTCTGTCTGCTATAAATCTTATAATCGAAATTTAACACACTTCTACTTATTCTATCGATCTGAAATTTTGCACACTTGCGTAAAGTTGGAGACAATGCATGAATCAAATGACAAAATTAATTATTTTAAAAATTAAAAAAAGTCTTTTTTAATATTAAAAAATTGGAAAAATAATATTGTCAGCTACAAATCTTATAACTGATATTTGACACACTTTTTACTGTGCAATTGATCTTAAATTTTGCACACTTATGTGAAGTCGGAGGCAATGCTTGAATCAATTGACAGAATAAATAATTTTGAGAAAAATATTTGTATATAAAAAATAGAAAAAAGAATTTTTTTATATTCGAAAATAAAATGAGAAATTCATTGTACATCTTTAACATTGGAGACACTGGATTCCTTAAAAGTGTTGTCTTTAAAAAGTAATTTTTAAACGTATATTATTATTGTTCAGTATTAGTCTCGTCCACGATGTCTTGAACCATTTTCCATTGCATTCCACCATCTTACTATGGGAAATGTGCTACACATTTTTTAATAACATTGTAAAATCTAAGCGGTTTTATCTTGGTCTTGAAGCAGGACTGCATATGTCCTTTGTGTGCAGGAAATGAGGAAGCTTGGCTGTGAGTGGTCGCCTGATGTCCGGCAAATCGACTTGGACGTCAACAGAACATTCCGTGACAACATTATGTTCAGGAAGCGTTATGATGTGAAACAACAGCAGCTCTTCTTCATGCTAGGTATGTCCTGATATCTTTTACAATCGATCATCTACAAATAATCTAAAATCGAAATACATTAGCTTTTTTCTAGTTTTGAAAAATGTTGTTTTTTCATTTCATGAATAGTTAATAAGATGTCTAGCTGCATGGCTGAATCTTTTGACTTTTTAAGTATTTTTTCTGACTCGTTTTTAATTTCTTTACCTTTTCGTATATATTTTTGATCAATATTTCAAACATCTGATAAGTGGTTAAGTAAAAACAAACTTTCTGTTATTGCTCTAATGCGCCATTTGGTTTGATATTTTTTTTTTCGAGTTTGTCAATTATTGCTACTGTCAATTTCCTGCAACAAGAAAAAGATTGCTGTAATTATTTCTATTTGCAATGTTCATCTACTAGCTTCTGTACTTTTTATTCGTAATTGTCATCCATTTACGAGCTGCGTTTCATTTTTTTTTAATCTTCCAAAAAATTTTTTCAATCAATCTCATCTCTTTCTTTTTTGGAAAATGTCTTGAATTGCTTATGATGACAAGTTAGGCTTATTGCTTCAAAATTTCTCATTACTCTATTATCTCGTAATAATTTCTCGTTTTTGTTGACGGATAAGTCTTGTGCTTTACAACTTATGTCCTATTACTCAACTTATTACTCTGTTACATTTTAATTGTTACCAATCTACCAAAAATGTAAAAGCAATGATTATGCCAAGTAATTTCACTGTACCCTCTTTGGAGAATAATTTTTTTTATTTTTTTCGGAGACTAGGTCAATCAACAGTTGAAAAATTTAAAGAATACCTACAAAAGCATTTAACAGAAAAAAGCTAAATTTACACGAAAGTGAACAATTTGTAACTTATTTTTGATTTTACTTGCCAGTTGCGTACAGCGTGTACAACCAGGAGGTCGGGTACTGCCAAGGAATGTCGCAGATTGCGGCTCTTCTGCTCATGTACATGGATGAGGAGGATGCCTTCTGGGCCCTCTCTGCCCTCATGGCCGACACTAAATACTCTATGCACGGTCAGCAGTTATTGCAATGTAGAATCTTTTTTTATATCATCTTATTATGAGTTTTATGCAGCTTTTTGACCATTACCACGCTGGTATGCCGCCTTCAAATCATCCTCCCAAGCAGGGAATCGAACCCGGGTCTCCTGGGCTCGTGTTGTGCGTGCTAAATTTGCTGTATAGTGCGCACAGTTTGAGGTTACTCTTTCTTTTTGTATTTTTTCACGATGTGTAAGTAATCATTACGATTTACTTTTATGGAATTTCTGCTGAAGCTGAAGACTCTCACGGACATCGAAAGGTAATGAAGTATAATTTTGTTACAACAAATCATTGTTCCAGAATATATCCTCGGCTACAACTGCCTCGCACTGAAATAAAACCTTTATTAATTATCTTGCTCGCATTTAACAGCTGGTTAAAAAAATAAATTCAGTGTACAATAGAATGCTTCTAAATCCCTAAGTCCTAATTCTCTAAAGGGTGTGCCAAATAGCTCAATTCGTCACTTGAAATCCATTTTATTATTTCGCTATTAGCAGTGTTGCAAATTATTTGTTATTTCATTAGGTGTTACTAGGACGTTTCACAGTTTTCAAAAATGTGCAGGTTTTTTTATCCCTGGTTTCCCAAAGCTGCTACGATTCCAAGAACTGCACAACAAAATATTAGCCACCAAGTTACCGAACCTAAACAAGCATCTACAGCGGAATTGCATCGATGCGGGACTGTACACGCTGAAGTGGTTCTTCCAGTGCTTCCTGGACAGGGTGGGTAGTAGGGTGCATTTCGAGAGTCTAATATGTGAACGCGAACTCCTAACATAAGATTATTCATCTTTATGTGTTGACGTAGGTTGTGATCTGTGTCATCTTGAAACACGTTAATATCAGACGTTAATCTTATGTGGTTGAAACATGGTTAATTGGTAGAGAGTTTATTGTATGCAGTTTTACACCGAGATGGCACTGTGTAACTGATTGCAATTTCATCGCTCTCTTTTACCTAAAATTTTATCCTATAGTGTTGGCTGTGATTTTTTTTAGATTACTAAGTTGAATTTCCATGCTAAATGGGTATTTCATTCGATAATGTTGAGATCACTGTCTTACTTCTTAATTTTTTCATTTTGATTGGTATTCTTGTGGTATTTTGTTCGTTGGAAATCTATTTATCAACGTATTAGGGTTTTGGATTACAAATCCATAATTCCAACTGATATGCTAAAGTGATGTTCTATTTTTCTTTGTTCAGTTTTGCTGTTTTTTTTAGTGGTCAGGTTGTTCCTCTGCTGAATTTTTAGAGTTTCTCTGCTAAGGCTGTTGAGAACGTATGAGATTAGTTTACACATTTAACATTTGTTTTCTGAAAAATCAGTTACCCGAAGAAGATTTGTCAGTGTATTTTTACATCTCAGGTGCCGTTCCCTCTTTGTCTGCGGCTATGGGACGTGTACCTGGTGGAGGGAGAGCGGCTGCTGCTCGCGGCAGGCTACACGATCTTGAAGCTCCACAGACGCGCCATACAACAGAGAGACATGGAGAAAATACTCGACTTTATTCAGAAAGAGTGAGACTAGGACATAAGAAAGAGAATACGCGACTTCATGCAGAAAGAGTGACGCTAGGACAAATTAAATAAAATATATTACTATATTCAGAAAGAGTGAGACTACGACACATGAAAGAGAATGCTCGACTTTATTCAGAAAGAGTGAGACTAGGATATATGAACTAGAATACTCTACTTTATTCAGAAAGAAGGAGACAAGTAAAATATATAAGTTCTGATTCTGTTTAACTCGGTTAATGTTGAGACAAATATTCCCATAACCCCATGTATATTTTAGGGAAAATAATAACGAGTCGCAATTAATTTAATGGGAAGACAGATTCCAGGCTTCTCTTTAGTATTCAGTGATTAATTGCCTGAATGAAATCGGCATTTTTGTGTATGAATATATTTGGTCAAAACGTGATCTACAGAAACACGATGAGTCAAAAATGTTATTTTTACCTAAATCACTGCTTGCGAGAATCATCCATAGTTTACCAGGAATTAAAATCCTGTGTAACCTTTCCAGCAATTTGCAACGATTGATTGTTGACAGGCTGGTGCTGGACTTCGGATACCCGGACGACGAGATGATGCTGGCCGTCCGCAAGTCGCTGGAGGAGCTGCGGAAAGCCAAGCTGGACAACATAGGACCTCCAGCGCTGAACGAGCTCCCAACTCTACCTTTTGGTTTGTTTCATGGCATCTATAAACCAGGGTCCCTCAAACTAGGAGTGAATTACTTGTAAATTATCCCTCGTATGATGAACATTTTGTGAGTAATGACTGAATGACAGTTCCACTTTATTTGGAATACTTCCAATTTTATCATCTATGTTGACAACATTTTGGGGAATAGTTGACACGGAAATTGTCGCATTTTGCACTGCTCATGTCGGAATATCTATGAATACGCCATTAGCTTGTTAATTAGTCCTCTGGAGTTTGTTAAGATGAATGTTGCGTCTTGTCGACTTTACTAATGAAAGAATTACCTACCTTTGTACATATATATGAATGAGTTACCTGTGTACGTTCGTATGTATGAATGACTTACGTTTGCAGGATCTTTCGTGACGCCGAGCGTGACGGCGGAGATGGGCGTGCGAGCCGAGCCCGGTGAGCAGGAGCGGCAGCTGACGCAACAGCTGATCGAGCAGCAACAAAAGCTGCAGGAGCAGCACAGGAATGATGGTATATAATTTTTGTGTGTGAATTTATATGTATAATGTACTACAGCACTTTTGTTTTTGAAACTGGAAATAGGTCAATAGGATTGTTCATTTCACTACTGTCACTTTAATTTTGTCCTATTAATTTGGGCTGGTATCATTAAGCCATCTGTGTTACTACCAAGTGCGCCGAAAACTAGTCCAAAGTAACGTCAATATCCTCAATGCATTCTCGGAATGTATGTATTTAATCAAATTTTCCAGGCATTCAAGCAAATTGAAGTCATTGAAGTTGCCAAGTACTCAAGTATCTTGATGTGATCAAAGTGGCCAAATATTTACGTAAATTCATGTCTAAGTTTGGTTTCATTCGTTTTCATGGAAATAATGGATCATTTAGATGCCCACCTATAACTGGGCTTCACTTGACTTGGGCTCGACGTTTGTGTGTCTGAAAACTGACTTACTTCAATTATAGACAATAACTACCGTAATAACAATATCTAAATTCACTCAACTGAACTTCGAAATTGATTCACTTGGCAGGTAATGTATGAATTCCTAATGATTCTTGGCAGGTAGCAGACAGTGTAAAAATTCTGAACTAGTTTATCAAACATTAATTTGTATCATCAAATTTACCGAATTTTCGGTGTGATTAAGCAATTATACTTTTCAGGCTCTCATACTTCCTTGGACCAAAGTATTGACGACGTGAGCAGCGTTGGAGGTAAAGTCGTGTCTAGAGGCGTAAGTGCCTCGGGAACCACCATAGGTGAAGGCACGTTCGGCTCCCGCGCATCCCTCGCCAACACCTCCCTTACTTCGGCACCTGATTTATCAACCCTGTCATCCCTGACATACGCGCGCAGAAATGACACCGACCAGGTGTCTATGTCATCCGAGAAGATGGACGGACTGTCAAGCAGTGGTCGGTCGTTAGTATCACCAGACCACAAATCTGTTCGGTCGCCCCGGTCACCGACTGTCAACCGTGATGGCTTCCGCACTGGTAACGATAGCCTTCGAGCGGACGACACCTTGACTGGTAGAAAAAGACATTTGCAGTCTTCTCGGGATACAGATTTATTCACTGCAACTTCTCATCCACATCTCGCGAGCACCACTGAAACGAAATCTGAACTCCGAAATGATGAGACTGACGTACACAAAAATTCTGATCAATATAGTACTGAGGATTATAGACGATCTGTGCAGAGTGACGATGGCTGTTATGATCCGTCCGACTCGACGATTCCATACACAAATTTTTCTTCCTACACTAACGGGATCGACGGTCACGACAGCGGCAGCGACGAGGATCGAAATGATGGCAGTCCTGTGACTAACCTCGCCGCTGTTCGGCCCTCGAAGTTGTCCGCAAGCCAGACGACATTAATAAGAGAACCTGACATTACAAGCACTTCAGAGCCAGCCACTCCCAGGGCTGGTGAGACTCCTGACACCGTCAGGCTCTACGTCCCTTATGCCGATGACGAAAACTGCGACGCTAGATCAGTTAGTCCGTCCTATTCTGCAGGTCATGGCGAGATGACACCTGCCGCCTCTAGTGTTATTGGTGCTGATGATGAAGAGTGGAGTGCGCATCAGGCTTCTCGGAGAAATGAAACTGGGAAATCGAAAGCTCCAAAAAGCATCGAATCGCCTAAGAAGTCTATAAATTGTGATCCTAATAAGATCAAAATCCATGTCGATGCTGATGAATCCTTATCCAACCCGTCAACGCCCCGCAACGTTAACACTTCTCGTCATTCCAGAACTGCAGAAGACTTAGAACTTACTGATGAAAATTCCCCAAGAGCGCAAGATAACTCCATAGAAGAAAAATATGTTCGTTTAGAAAGCAGAGAAGCGGCATCTTTAAAAACGATAGCTTCACATGATATAACGCATCGTTTCTTGGAATCGGCAGAGGAGTCCACTCATGATAGAAGAATTGTTTCGGGTAAAGGGTCTCATAATATTAAAAGTAACAAAGATTCTAATGTTCATAATTCATCGTACGAGAAAAATGAAATACCTCCACTCGGTGCCTCTACGTCTTCTGGAAGTATGAGATCAAACACTTCATCTTCTCCAAAGAAAGCTTCTTCTGAAAAGCCATACGCGAGAAATGCCATTCCTGAACCTGTCTTCCCACGTACAACTGAATTAGATGACTTGATGCCAAGCAGTAACTCTGATGGAAGAAATTCTACACCGCTTAGCTATGCTTCGATAGGATCTTCTTCTGTGGAAACTGTAATTTCGCGCGGTCCTTCATCACCCGCAAGAGCCCACGGAAATTCGACGATTTCCGCTGCGTCTCGCGATGCTGTATCTAATACGAAGTCTCATGGCGCTGGTCAGTCTATGCAAGCATCGCCTAATTCACCAGTCCATGTAACTATTTCTTCTTATTATGAGAGGAAGCACCACCGAAATACGAGCGTCAGTCCGGTCGAGGCTGAGCGAGATAACCGAGCATCGAATGCTTCTACGTCGAGTCGCGAGTCTGGGGGCGGCGGAGGACGAGTGCAGCATTATTACCATCACAGGCAGTCTTCTTCCCCGCCCGTGGCGAGCCCCACGGTGTCGCCGAGCACGTCTGGCCGAAGTCGCGGTCCTTCTGCTCTGAGAAATTCTCAGCAGAATTTCCCTCCTCATTCCCAAAGCTTCGAACATCCACGAGACGTTCCTGATGGTCATTTCCAAAACGTGAAAACTCATCAAAGAAATTCCTCAGAACATTCCATTAGGTATCCGCATTATGATCCTCATAGTCCATCTGAAGTCCCTTTTCTTGGAGGTCCCGCTGGTGTAGAGAAGAAACGTGTGACTTCATATGTCGCGCCAATCTCTGTCCATTCCACTATCATTGATCAATTCCGCGCTAACTCTTCCGTCACTTCCCACCGTCAAAACACAATGGGAAGCGAATACCATTCCATAGATTCCCGCACACGTTCTTCCGAATCAAGAAGTTTTCCCATGCGACCAACTCCAGAGCAAGTTCCCAGTACTGACATGTCGCCACGACGCCTTCAGTACTCATCGTCGCAATGGGCCGAACATATACGCTCCGATACTTTCAACAAACCTACCACTTTCAAGCACTTTATTGATGATGAACCTCTTAGGGAGTCTACCGCTGTCGGAATGGGACAGCAATATCCTGCTACTCGTAGCTTTGCTACACATGAACAGCCTTATTTCGAAGACAAGGCTAAAGAGAATCAGTTGCCCTCCAGAAGACCTCAACCGTTCCAAGTGCCCAGCAGTTCTATCAGGGACGGCTACCGGTAGAGCGATAGACGTTGTATTATAGCACAGTTGAATCACAGCCATCGTTTTTGTATTACCTTACTCACGCTCACGTTTCTACAATGCTCTTTATTTTCTAATTATGTCGCATGGTGAATTTGTTCAGCCCTTCACTCAGAAAATGGACGAAGTCCAACTGAATGCGAGTAAAAATATTGTAACTTTTAACTCACTCATTTAATTATTAGCAATTTTCAGTGACTGCCGACTTACTGTCTTTGGATTATTTATTAATAATCATATCGAGGAAGGTCTTATGTGTTAACATGGCTGCCTCTTCTTAATTTAAGATAAATGCCAAATTCATGGAAAATGCAGATCATTCTTGCCGGTAGCTTGGCTTCTGAATATTCCTATGCAATTAGCTAGGTAATAATTAAATAATATCTTACCTCTTTAGTGCCGAATTGAGTGTACTTCAACTGCTTGGAGAACTACGTAGTCATTCATGTGTAATTTGGAATTCGACATGACTTCATTAATAGGGCATGTACTATAAATATGTTTTGGTACCAATTTTCGCTTTCTGTTGTCGTGTTTTAGCTCCATTTTTTCATACTTTGTTGCTTATAGCAACGGACTTTTTGGTAGATTTTTTGATTGACTTTGAATCTTCTTTTTTCTGCAGACTATTGTTGAGATTCGGTAGTTTGCTGCGTTACACTTCATGTAGAAAAAATTTTTTCTTTCTGTTTTGTAGCTAGCATGTGATTACTCTGCTTACTGACGATAACTGAAGTTTTGTTAACATCTTATTATCTCGATTATTATTGTTATATCTGTGACGTGTTGCATATTACGTTGGTGCAATTATCAGCTAAAGTAGCCTGATTTTCTCAAAAGTATTTTGATCTTCATCTTCTGTGTCGATTGCGAAAAGTTATTGCAAGCCAGATTAGCAAGTCACACTTTGAAGTTACTCATGCTTGTATAGTACACTCAGGTTCGTTACGAGAAATACATACTTGGAAATTTTTGTGATTGAAGGGTCAAATTTTCTTTCGTTTAGGAAACTTGCTGTTTTTACCTTGAAATAAATTTAAAATATGCCTGTTTATTTGTAGTAGTTATACTCATCCAGCAAAGTTGAACATTGTTCCACTGATGGGAAATGATGTGAATTCCGTGCCCTGTCTTTAACCACGGCGTGAAAAACCAAGTTGTGCGTGCAACATATGAGTTTAATTTTATTCGGTGTTTAAAAACTATTTTGTCATCTTATGCAGAATCATCAAGCGCACCAACACCTCCTGTTAAGTTCCTCATTTATTCAACAAAAATTAAGCAAAACTCCTACTATATATGTGTCCACTCCGTGAAGGCTTGGCGAATAACTTATATTGTATGTTTTCTGTTGTGTCACAATTCTGTGCGTGTGGTGATTCAACATTGATTTTAAAGTCTATGTTCTTCCCAACCTTGCTTTACTCGTAACAAATATTTGCTCATTTCTCTTATAATTAGATTTCCTTGCTACCATTTGTTGTGTATCTCTGAAGCTTTGTTTTAGTTGCCTAGACAATTACAAAATCTAGCTTTAATTCTTTGGACGATTGCAATATTCTTATTTTTCCATGACGTCAGAATTGCTGCCATATGATCTACAGAATTATGAAGTAATGTATGTCCATGTTGAATGTTTTGATGTTTAACTATCAAGTAAACATTTGTTACGCGTTGCTGACTTTCTAATATTATTTATAATAATTTCGTCACCAATATCAATATAAAATCATCATCGTTATCATAATAACTTCATCATCAATATCATAATAACCTCATCATTATTTTATCATCACATTTTCCACTATGCTACCGAGCATTGCATTCTAATTCTGTTTCAGTTACCTTGATGCAAAAAAGTGCAATGATGGAATTTGCTTTCTTCAAATGTTGTGGTGTCGTGAAGAATAAAAAAATAGAATCATTAGACGAAATATGTTCAGAGCACACGATCAGTAATTAATTGTTTTATTTCTAATTCATGCGTTTCAAGTACGTCAGTGATTGTAAAATGTAATTCACATTTTTATCTTGGCTCCTATCAAAATAGGAAATTGTGAGAAAACCATGATTTACTTTCAGTTGTTTATGAGGAGATGGCTTCTCTGAAACCATTTGTTTATTACTCGCAAATTGTTTAAATTCTTTAAGTGTGATTGACGCAGATTTTATAGAGTGCAAATTATTATAGGTGCATTAACTTCTCAGATATAAAGTGCCTTGCACGACTTCTTCCTTTGGCAGCCGCTTGTGATGGCTGCTTCTTCGATTCCTTTCAAATGATGTCTGAATATTTGAACATTCGAGGTGTGCGTGTTGCTTTAATGCTACACTTGTTCTCTATGGTGGTGAGTGTGCAAGCAGTTAACTGAAAATGGTCTTAGAGATTCATTAATTCTGCGTCTTGCATCCTTATTGACAAAATTTGATTCAAATCACTTGAATTCCTTACTATTCCTAGTTGTTATTTGATGCTATGTGACGGCTTCTAAGAATTGAATAAATTAAAAATGTATAATTTCACTCATCGGAATCGTCATTTCTCGAAATTTTTTTCTTTGTATACGAGAAAAGAAGTATGGGCTTGAACTCCAATAAGTATCATTGAGCGAGTACCGACAATACCGTTGATAACGTTGGTAGTTCTCACACGTAGGTTTGCCATTAGCCTTCTCCATTCCATTAATTCCATGTAATTATCATGAGATTCCTGGTATGATTAGTTGAAGATTTCCGCTAGTGTTTTATACCTCCATAGATCATCTAGGCTTAGATGTGATCCCTCTAGATATGCACTAGTTAATGAACTATTTTTGGACTACTTAGTTTAGCTAGTACACATTTGTCTTACCAACATTAATCATGATGCCCCATAATTCATTCAGACATATGAACCCATTTGTATTTCTGAGTGTCGGAGCTTCGAAGAAATCTTTAATAAGATCCACCTTGAAATTTAGGCATCTCTCGTGTGATTTACATAACATTTATTATGCATCCAGTGGCCGTTGTGTGTAGGCTCACGAGCAGGCGACGTCAATGCAATTTGAACGCCATCTCACAATATAAAGATGTAGTTCATAATTAATCTAGAGTGAAATAAGCCACGATTGACATATTCCAAACTGATTACTGTCAAGTCGCTTCCATATCTGACAGGCACGAAAGTTGGAACTGAAAGCGATCATTTTTTTCGTAGTCCGTGAAACCGTTGTTTATTTTGATATCTTCGGTGTCTTTCTATTGCAGCAGGTTTGTAATCCTTTTGAACATATGAGTTTTTTAAGCAATCGATACTCCAAAACCTTTTCTGTATTCTCATCAATACTTATTGTGTATACGATTGATTCCAACACATGTATGTAGGCAGCGCTTGTGGACATAGTTACATGGATTTCTCTGATTTTGTTCCTCATCCATTCTCTCATAAATCTTCTTAATTGTTGTATCTTCTCATCCATCGCTGAACTGTTCTTTCTAATGAATATTTTGGCACTCTTATATTGTCAACCTATTCATACTTCTCGTTCTGAGTTCCCATGATCGATATTCTCATTGTCTTCATCATATTATTGATTAATATTAATATCGGCTATTATCTCTATTTATTTTTGATTACGAATAATGAATTTTGATTGCTCTATATATTCAAATATTTATGTTATTTAACTTGTTCGTCATGGATGATTGGCAGTGGAGTGAAGTGGTTGTTATTATGATTTAATAATTACTGTTATTGTAGTACGCCATTAACAGGAATGAGGACAGTGTCTATAGGTTAATGCTGTTCTTAGCCGCTATTTCTAATCATACACTTAACGAAATAAATATTGTGAGCGAAGTCAGTAACGTCATCTCTTGGTTCACTTCGCGTTTCCGCTGATAAACATCATTTTTCACCCCTAATTGGTATCCTCAATGTATCATGAAGCTTAAATAATTTTATTCTGGTTACTAATTGATCAGCGTGGCATTCAAATTAACATTTGAAAATCGTTTCGACTGTTGTACATTGTCGTAATCACGTTTGTTAATATAATAACAAACCAGGACGTATGATATATGAAGTTGTGCAGTGTTGTGAGATGTTGCATTTTGTGCCGTGGTGATGTCAGAGTACTTAGTAAAAATTATCCGTTATCGAAATTTTAGTGAAACTAAAATGATACTCCTAGTGATAATTAACATTAGCATACTTATACTAATTAACAATACGTAGGTATTCATCGATAATAATATTGTTAATGGTTGTTTAACATCTTAAAAACAGTTGACGGAAACTGGAAAAAAATGTAAGCTCAGTATTGCTTCATGACAAGTACAAGGCTGTTCTCGTCTCTCAAATTGTGATTATACATTCCTTTTTATTCCGTTGCTTCTCTCTAGTACGCTGTTCTGCTTGTTAAGTGCGTGATTTATTCTGAAAACATATTTTTTTTCTCTCTAGTCCTATAATTCTTGGAGGCTTTTTTCAATTCTATCTCGAGTTGAAAAAAAAATTTAGAACGGTCCTCTGCAGTCGTAATTGAAAAAAGTGTTGAGTAGGAAAATGTCGCCGTAGTGCGGACATGTTCTTAGGAAACATCTTGTATTGTGAGCAGCAAAGCATAATACATATTATTCATTTCATTCAAGCCCCTTGTTTGTACGTGATCGTTTAAACGCGAAAAGAATATTTTCGTTTATGTCTGGAATTCTTAAGCTCTTTTATTTTCCTTAATTGGTTCACACTCAGACGAACAATTGGTCATTCATTTATTAACATTGAACTGTCCAACAATGTTATATTTATTTATTTGTGAACGTTACTCTGAACATGAATGAACTTGCGGCACACCGCTCTGTGTCAGCAGTGCTGCGATCCTTCCCTCTGTTTTTGTTGTGGACATTTTTTTACGATGGATACTCTAATAATAATTGGTATAATATATATAGTCAATTATACATTGCATATTACATTAATATGTTTATTTTCAAATGCTATTCTTTGTGCGTAGTTCTCGAACCAACAAGGCTTAGTTGCGTACAAAATTCAGCGCTGGCGTCAACACGTACTCTGCTACTGAGACTTGAAAGGTCTTCAAAATTTACGCATTATTTTACCTATCGTACGGTTACGATGCAAGAAAATTATCTTTCTTTGTTGAAAATAATTTATGATACTTTCACTATACTTCTGTTATATTTATTACTTTACTTCTGCTGCCTATACGAGAGTTGGTACACTTCTTGACAATTCTTAGACCTTTAGAGAAGATGATTGTGCCTTTTGTTTCCACTTTATTATATTCATTAACTCTGTTATTATTAGAAGTTTACACCAATCACGATTCCAGTGTACTTGTATATTCTTATAGAGCTCTGATGAACTTGTTTTTATTACTGCAGACACGATTGAATGAGTTGGTATAAACAAGTTGGCTGTTTCGTTATCTTGACTATATGTTGACATGTATTTTCATGCTATGGCTGGGTGCAAAAAATCAGTATTTGTTGTATTATTTCATGGAATAATTTATTTTCAGTGCAAGCATGAAGTTTTATATATATAGTGCCCATATTATTGCCGCTTTGTTCTACCTGCTCAATTCTCGCCGTTGCATTATTATACCAAAGATTCTGTATATTTTTACAAGTAATATTTGGGAGCACAGCGAACTTGTTAATTGAACTTTTCTTTATAGAACTTCTTCGCAGTGACGTTCCATCTTGTTGCTGATGTTCATTTCGCGGTTGGCATCACGAAATGCACGCCTGTGAACCAAGACACTACGTGCTACTTACATTTCTGGGAAATGGCCAAAAGCTGTTAACCTTTGCCATGGCGATTAACCTTTACGTTGTCTCGTCAAGTTCATGCAGTGCACTTGGTATATTGGAATATAGTTTTTTTTCATATAAGGAATGGTTTGTATGTCTCGGAACCTCGGTAATGAAGCTTTCTTAGCTTGTGTGCAATAAGCTGGATAGCTTCATACACTTTTACATTATTCAACCCAATGTCCGTGTCAAAATCGTGTTTTAGTTCAGCTTGACTATATCACTTTGATAGAGCTAGCTTATTTGACTGAGATATTCTCTTAATAAATTTGCGTTGTTCAATTATAATTATTCGAAATAATGACTGCTTTTTCATACATTTCAAGCAATAGTTTATACGGTATACCTTCTACTTTAAATTTTATCTTTTCTGACCAAATACATTTTCATATTTTTCCTCTGACACCGAATTAACCTTCGTATTTATTATTACCTTTTCATTGTTGTATTCACAATAATACATATTTGTATGCGTTGTAGAAGATTTTGTAATTACTTCTATTTAATTGTTGGATTTAGAACGAAGTGGAGTAACTACCACTTCATAGTCACTGCCTCCTGAACTAATCCTCTGTTTCTTGACCTAATAATATTCCTGTACAAAAATATACATACAAATTAAACCTTTTTTTATTGCCGCTACCCTTTCCTGGGTAGCGGCAAAAATTGATCATCCCCAACGAACAATTTTGGTCGATACTGTAACCTAACAAAACGTCACATTTTTTCGTCTTAGTTTTCGGCATCCTAGTTCACTTCTTAGCGCATTTTCTCATTTATGGAAAAAATGCACTATTGTGCTCGCCATTTCCGTCTGTCTGTCCGTCTATCCGTCCGTCTGTCCGTGACCTCAAGTTTTCGTCGACGAAAAAAATGCGTTCTCTCACTCACTGCAGTGAGTACTGAGTGATATTTTTTGCTATGTTATGTGGTTATAACGAGTGTAACTCCTGAATCCTTCATAATTGCTTGATTATACAGCTCGTTAAGAATATTTTGTTGAGGGCTACTAAATCCTGCTTTCCGATACTTCATAGTGAAACTTGTAGACTGAGGCATTCACTCGCCGCGTATAAAAATGAAAGCAGACCGACTACTGCCAGTGCTAGCCTTCGGGAGCGTTTGAAATTAGTAAACCCCTGAGATGGTTGACGCTAAGAGCTACGGAAATGTAAGCCCCTTAAGATAGACAGTTCAACGTGCAACATTGGCAACGTTAGAACCTGTCACGCTAAGGTTGCGCGACACTACCGATCAGATCAGAGCAAACTTGTACCGATCAATGTTCGTGTGTCTACCATACACCGCTCCCGACCGCCGTGCCGAAAATCTCCTATATATACCGCGAGGTGCAACTGAACACATGCAATTTTCGGGGATATTTTTCGATACGAAAACTTTAGTTTACTTTTTTTAGGAAGTTTGACCGTTCTTCTTCAAGCCTTATTTTCAGTGTTGCGATCATGAATTAGATCGATTGTTTTTGCCTATTAATTACCGTTATTTTTTAATTAAATGAAAAATCTTTCCTGAAAGTAGAAAATGATTTTGAGGATAACTCAATAATATTGATTGTTATCATGATTCATGCCTTTATTCATTAAATACTAATATTTATATAATTTAAATTATAATTTTCATTCGTGATTATGATATTAAAAAGTAACGTATCAGCTACTTCTATCAAAGAGATGTAAAACCTTTGAAATTGTTGCCAGCGCTGTGATGTGGTGTTTACAGCCAAAAGGTAATTTAAATTTGATTGACCTGTTTCGATTACATAGATAATTTGGGTAGGTATTTTTACATTCAACCTAAGGACTTACTTTATTTAAGCATTAACCTCTGGAGTAAAAGATTTCAAAAATTGCTTTATATAAAGTACTGACACCTTACTGAATTGTAAGGCGGAGCTTTGGGGATTCCTGACACAAAATTCTCGGTATCATTTCAGAAATTATCGTTCATCTCGCTAAATGTATAGGTCAGTACATTCATGCTCCATATTGATGAAATGAAAATATTCTCCTGGCTAATTTATCCGTAATTATTGCATTATCATCTAAGCGAGTGGCATCTTCGTTTTCTCTCACTGAAAAATTTCTCTTATCAAGCCTGAGAGAATTACAAATACTAGATTTAGGCGATGGGAAATGGGATCACTGCCGCCCCACCCCCAAGGCTCAAGCCCCTCAACGTTAGTTACCATTTGTCGTTGACAGTGGTCGGTTTGGGTTCTCGTTGCGTTGAATCCTTCTGCTGGAACGTTATCTCAATCATGAAGTCAAAGAACAGGTGCCGGCGTAACCGAAGAGTTTAGTTGCAAGTGCACCGTCCACGTGTGAGGTGTATCGTGTATGTGCTTCTCGTCAACAACTGAAACGTTTAGTAATTATAGGTGTGAGAAAACGACCTACTTTGAAAGGTTATACTGTCATTGTATTCTTTTAATTCTATAAAAGTGAATTTTTGTTGGAAATATTTCGTTGTGAAGACCGGACAAAGCTAGATTTTCGGTGAAAATTGAATGTGGAAACTTGTTTGTGACCAATCTGGTCTACCCTAACATAGACGATGGAAGAAAGTTTACTTACTAGCTCGAACTACTCGAGCTTCATCAAGCGTGAAGAAACGGATAGGACTCCTTTCCTGTCTACACCCTGCTCATCAATGGAGTGGAATGTAAGTCTACATCTGTTTTGTTACTGTCAGAAATAAGATTTTATTTTTGTATTTAATTATATCATTGAAATTTTCATTTTCTTGTTTGATACTTGACAGGGAAGTGAAATAAAAATTACCGGTACCTAAGTAAATTTGTCAGTTGAATATAAAAATAACCGGTAAGAAAGTAAATCTCAGTTGAGAATGACGTGCTATTGCGCCTATTCTTAGTTACTTAGTGTTCTATTACTATGAGTATGAGCCTATGGCACCTGAAGTCCGGTTCATTTTTTTTCTGATATTCCCTTTGGTTAGTTGTGAGAATAGTCAATTATATACAAAAGAGTTCTCCAATATCAGGTTAAAACTTTCTTACCGTTTTTTGCTATTTGTAATAAGCTTTAACGAAGCTGCTTCTAAAGTTACTACTGCGCCCTGAATAATGGACGAAATATCATCATGTTATTTATCTAATAGAGAATGTTTACGGTGACTCTACTGTGTCAGGTTTGGGTGATCAGAATTATCGCTATATTTGTTCTTCATGTCAATTCTTTGAAATGGAATTTCGTGAGTAATCAGGCCTTCCATATGTTCCGTGGAAGATAGCAGTGCTTGTCATCTTCCACATCATTATATGGACATAATTTCAAGTTGAAGTATTGTTTATCTCCAGATTATTCCTGCTCAATGACATGTTTGTTGTGAAGCAACAAAGTTGCTAGTTGAACTACGTCGTGGTACGTACACTGTTGTTGTGAACATGTACCGGTGAAGAACGTGATAACAGCTGTCCCGACGCTCGTATGTGGGCGTAGTTACGCTTGGTCTACGCAGAATGACAGACAGGATGCGTACGGTTCAGGGACCCGCGAGGATGCTTTTATCCTGCTTTTGTCGTAAGAGCTATTTTCCTTGTTAATTATTATGTCTATCTTGGACAATTTTGAGCTCGAAACATGTCTTACTTTATTCACATTTACTTATCAGAATCAGTCAAAGTTTCGTCAGCTTTTTCGGACATGGAGCAGCTGTGAGCTGGCGTGCATACCATCGTCCATCGTCACTACCATAGAGCTGCCCTGCTGCTGCCACTGCCAGCGTCAATCGACCTCTGTTTGCTCCGCCTCTCGTTTGATTTGCTTAAGATTTTTCCTGATTTCAACGTTCCAAAAACTTTCCCCGGAATTGAGTTGCATCAAATGATGAAATTGCTTCTGATTTATTAATATTCATCGCATATCTCGGGCCTTATCCAAACTAAATGTTGAATTAACCCTTTCAAGTTTTAGGTATTTGTCAGACGAACCAAAGACCGTTAGCGTTTAAATCTCACATTCTTTTGAGACATTTGAAAGCTTGCGTTGACATATTAGCAAGTTTATTTGATTTATAAACTAAGCGTAAATTAGCGCAGGGTGAGAATCATGGAATTACTGGCAATTTGGCATTAGAAGATTGCAAGCTACTGCGAATTTCGGCTTTTCAGTGTTGTTCAGAACATGCGCTGATGTTAAAGCGCCACGTGGCCTTACAAACCTTCGGCTTGCACTCTATTAGGTTTTGAATATCATGGCCTGCATCAGCCTATATTGCATCAAAGTTACGATTACTTAGTATTTAAAAGGGCGCTGATTATAGTACAGAACAGCTCCAAAATAATTACGTCTAATAAAAAAGCATTTGGTTTTACTGTCAATTTTAATATTGAGTAGGGATTACCATGACTAATGTTGATTGCCAAAATATCTTTTACGATCATTTCCATTATTATGAATGGCTGACGATTTGCTGTATTTTATAAAACGTTACGTAACCACAAGTAAATTCATTTTCATCTCAACATTTTTGAAATGGATGAACCTTTCAAAAACTATGAACGATGAACCTATCAAACTATAAGGATCTGGGCTTGGGTACTAATTTTAACCTCTTTATCATGCTTATCAGTAGGTATTTTGACGGATTAAATACCAGATGATGAATAGTATGAAAGTATGACAACTTGGGCCTAAATGCGTCACGATACTGCCGCCGTGCCACGATGCACAAAATTCACTGCCTTGCCTGACGTAATACCAGGTTATTCGGTTGCGTCAGCTTCCAAATTCCCATGTAAACTGCGCATGTGACATCACTGACATGTAATTATCGTCGAGCTTTTATCGCTCGCAGATGTTTTAGCGAATGTTTAAAATTATTTACCAAACCCCCGAGCTTACAAAGCTCTTTGTAAGCTCGGAGGTTTCGGAGAAGAATTTTCCGAGCTACTTGGAATTTTCGGAAATATCTGCAGAGCTATGCGATACTTGGGCAAATTTTAGTACCATAGTGGGACAAATTTCAAAGGAAAATTAAAACATGAAATTAGAATCTTTTGAACACCTTATTCACGTGAACTTGAAAAGGCGCTATGACTAGTTCCAGTGACTAGTTCTTAGGCGATTTAGAACTACATCTTCGTATACAATTTTCATGTCGTTCTTGTGACTAAAGATCATCCAAATGCAGCAACTGTCAATGAATCCTAACTTTCCTCAATAATGCACCAGTAGTATACATAATATAATAATAATTTCATTTATTTGCGTTGAATCGATTCAAAATTTTCAAAGCACTTGTGATGTTACTATATATTACTTAAGAAGTCCGGTTCCAAATTCGCAGCAATGAGTGAGACTTTGAACAAATATTTAAGCATTTTTTGTCCTACGAGTGAGTCATTCTGACTAAGTTTGGCCCGGAAATAGAGAGCATCGGTTCTGCGTTTGAATAATGTGACCCATTAATTCCTCTGTCAACGTCATAAATCTCAACCTCTGTCATAAATTTTTTACCACTTTTTATACAGTTATCCTATAGCATTATAGTATTACTATAGTTATTATACTATAACAAGGTGGCGCCTCAAGTGTCATTGACGCGTAGAGGCGAGCAGCGTCGTGCAGACGTGGCGCGGAGTTTCGTTCACCCCGCGGTGAAAGTTGTGCCGGCCGGCGGCCTCGCAGGTGAAGTTCTGCGCGCTCGCTCGTCCAGCCGGAAAAAGCGGTGGGAGTTTTGGTTTCCGGCGAACTCAGGTGGATTAAATTTTGATGGATGATGTCGCTAGTTGCAGGTTTGCATGTACCGGTAGTTCATAAAATTTGATGAAATAAACAGTGATGAAAATCTATTTCTTTTATGCTGGTAATGGGTGGGTGATTTTAAATTTTTTCATATACATAATCAATAATATAATCATATATGTTTGCGGAAACAGGTACATGACATGCTTATGGTGGCATGTAAAATTCGACAAAAAGAGAAACATATTTGTAAAACTACTACCTAGTTTATATGAACATTGCTGTCGTGAAAAATTCGATTCTGATCAACGCTTCGTACTCTTTGCGGTACAGTCAATAATGTTGTTTGGAGAGCCGCATTATTTACTGCATCTCTTATAAATATTCAACGTCCTCTTGTTCATCAACCTTCCTCCAGCCAATGCCACTCGCTCCTTTATTAAAAAAAAACGTCATAGGGTCTTGAGCAAAGCGCTTACGGAATTATTATGGTTTTTAAAAACGTGAACTAGAGCGACTGCAAAATATCACATTTAGAATGTTTAGCTCGTTCACGATCCACAAGTTCTGCCAAGCTTGAAGCTTCTAATCGTAGATCGGCTGGAAAAGAATGCGTTAGGAACCGCAGCGGGCTGATCGTAGGCGGCTGTAATTACCTGAATGCGAGCGTTAATCGCAGGAATTAACTGTCGGAAAGTGTGATGCTACTTGTCGAGGTTCCAATGTGAAGTGAGCAACAGCAATGATCGATAGATCATTCCTTCAACCATTCAATGTAGAGTTCATTGGAAACTCGGACAATTTTGTTGTAACAGGCGTTCGAAAATGATTTATGGAAGTTTTGGTTTATACTCTCGTGCTATTTTGCCCTCATGGTGTGAGTGTGACCAAAATATGAGTAAACCGCATGCTACCATTATTTGTAGTGCATTTTCTCATTTATGAAAAAAAGGTGCTATTTTGCCCGTCAAATCCGTCCGTCCGTCTATCTGTCTGTCCGTCCGTCCGTGACTTCATGTTTTCGTCGACGAGAAAATGCGCTCTCTGTCACTCACTGTAGTGAGTACTGAGCTACATTTTTTTAATTTAGGGAAAGGTATATACAGGTTTATTTAGAACTTGGTTATGTTATTATTTCTTAGGTCTTCATCAACTGGCTCGGAAGTGGACAACTGCCTTACGAGATTAACTATCCTTTAGATTTTTTCTATATTTTATATTTTCGCCTCAATAGTTTTTCCGTACTAGTTTTCAATAATAGTTTATGTACAAAGTATCTAATTCGCTCGTTGTGTAATAAGAGGGACCTTGGCTGCTGTGGTGCCTGTCGCTCGTGACCGATAGAACAAACTCGTCTCACACGAGTTCTTCCAATCACACTCATGCGGAGGATTGACCTCGTAATGGTCAGAACCACGATGCACATAAACTTATCTCTGTACTAGTCACGCAGGGGAGGATGTCTTGTGATAACTGCCTTTCGTATATGCAAGCCAACAAAATAGAATAAAACCATATTGAAGAGTCATGCTTCCAAAGTTGCATGCTAGCAACTTGGACCAGTTTTTTGTGGTGAAAGTTCGCTTGTTGAAGGACCAGTATTGCGATAAATATGACGATAAATGTTTCAGCTCTCTTCTACTGACGTAGTACTCTTTACTTGCCGCGTTATCAGTTTAACCATTACAGACTAATTCCTCGCGTTGAATCAAACTCGGTGGAATTTGGAATGTAATTTCGACTGAGATAAATACTATGGATGAGGCCTGTTTTTTTATATATAAATGCATGTACATATATTATAGGCCATTGTACCTTACATGGCTACCTTCGGCCTTGTGTCTCGACTTGCCTCCTGGTTCACTTGGATTACTGGTTTCTGTGGATTGCGACCACACCCTTTGTTTGATTCTTGCACCCTTCACCGCCGTGCTGATACTGTCTGGAGCCAGC